AAATAGTAATAAAAATTAATCAGAATTTTCTTACCTTGTCTCCTTGTCTAAATTTATGGTGTTTTCTTAACATTTTTGGCCGTTTCAGGGCGACCGGGGGCGATTCCAGCTAGGCCCTGGTGGAGATGATCCTGCGAGAGAGAGTGCTCCTAAAAGTGGCATAAAGCCACCAGTGCTCGAAATTTTGCCAAATTATGCCAAAATTATGCCAGAATTCCCAAATTGGGCTCCTGTTTTCCGAAATTATGCTCACAAAATGACGTAGATTCTGTACATATAGGCGCTCAATAACGACACCAAATTATGATTCCAGCGAGTTTTAAAGTTCTGCCGTTGTTCGAGCGCAAGGGAAGGTGATTATTCGAGGGAGGCGATTATTTCATATATTATTCACTGGAAGTAGTGCCCTAAATATTTTGTTCTATTTCCTCATAATCAAAAATAATCGCATCAAAGAAACTGAACATGGGCTTTCCAAGTGTTCCAAATTTGGTTCATTGATTAATTTTCATTGTCGGATCCTCAGCTTCGTCACAGATCAGTTTTTCTAGATCAGACTGCTCTTCAAAGACTCATCCTCCAAATTTACCGCTATGGGTGTCGATAGTGGGTTACCTATAGTGGTGGGAGGCGGGGACGATTATTCGAGGGAGGCGATTAATCGAGGGACGGCTATTACGGTATTCGAGGAAATACGGTATTCTCTTCCGGGTCGTCACGCAACAGTGTTTCTCTTTGCCTAAAAAGGAAACACCACGTGCCCAGACAAGACTTGTCAAAATACAAGTGGTCTATTTGCACAGAGAATGATTTGTTTACAAAAAGAATGCTTATATTATCATACGACCCATTGTTAAGTGATTATTCAAGCATCCGTTTCTCGGAAACAGAAACAAATTTCAGGTTGAGCGGAAATTCCCGGAAAAATCTGATGTCATTTAATCGCCTAAAAATTGCTTAGCGAAGCAATTTCATCAGCAAGCTACGCGGGAACACGAAGATTTTATCCCTGTCTTCCAGTCAACAAAAAATGTAGATATTTTTGTTTGGAAAGGGAAAGTCGATAAACTGGTGGCCAGTCAAAGAGATCTTTTGTCACTTTTACTTGTAGCCCTCGAACAGCTGATCGCCGTTCTAAGTTCAAAGTGAATTTGTCAAAGACGTGACCCTAACTGTCTCTTGTTGAAAGAAATTGGTGATCATGGAAAGCGAGGACAGCGCCGAGGATTCCTCAGCCTCCGAAACCGAAACAGAAACCCAACAGGAAGATAGAAATGTCGAGGTGGGATTCACCGCTCGCCCTTACCAAGTAGAGTTACTGGAAAGATCTCTGGAAAGAAACACAATCGTTTGTCTCGGAACGGGAACTGGAAAAACATTCATCAGTGTAATGTTAATAAAGGAACTCTCACACCAGATCAGAGAAACCTACAAAAACGGTGGAAAAAGAACTTTCTTCCTTGTAAATACAGGTTAGAAATTACGCTTCAGATTGTTTACGTTTCGGTATAAATTCTAGGGGTGGAGTAGGGGTTTGGAAGGTTTTTAGGGGTAGGGAGTCAGTGAACTTTTCGTTCACACCAAAATGTCTGCCGCCATGCGATGAGTGCAATTTCGTCGTACAATATACACGATCTGAAATTGCAGTGGATGGAGATTTTTTTTGCACTTGCAAGACAAGATAGGATGACTTTATTATATCGCATCAGAATATCTCTAAATTGACAGAAAACGCGTAGCCCCAAGTGAGGAACTTAAATACTCTCTTAGCTTAACGCTTATGTTCTTTAAGTTTCTAATTTCCTTGTTATTTTATATGATCATGACATTTTGTTGTGTGAGCATTCAGAACAGTTTTGCTGATATAATTTAACGGGCAGCTCTTTCCTCTGAAGCTTTCTACAACCATGATTTTAAACAATGTCCATTTGGGGATGCAAGCCATCCTGAAGGCAACTTTTCAGTCCTGGGGCCCGTTTCTCGAAAGTCCCGATGATTAACGGGCCCGGTAAGCTGTCTCCGTTTACATTAAAGATCGAGTTATCAATACTTTTGCATCTAGCATGATAAAAGTATCAGGTAGTGAAACAAAATGGAGTAGTCTGCTAGCCAGGACCAGCGCTCTTATTCTTTATATTTCGATTTGAATATTTGATTTCGGGTCCGGAAAGTTACCGGGACTTTCGAGAAACGGGCCCCTGGTCTGGAAGGGGTTCGCATGGTCCGTGAATTGACCGGTAAACAGAGCCTGAATCAGGCAAACTCATGAAATACAGAGAAAATCAGAGAATCGCCAGTTTGTTGGTCACCATTCTTTTTCCTTCCTATACAAGGTCATTTATGCCTGTAGTAGTCCAGCAACCACCAAGCTAAGAATAATTATTGATGGCCTTGATCAGTTCATTACCAAATGACATGATTCGTGAATGTATGGAAATTTACCCCGTGTTTCAAGATCCAGACACCCCCTTCCAGACCCTGTTTCAACATGCTGTTTGAAATGAGCTAATCACAACCGATACAAGTTCAGAGTATCATACTAGTGGCCTGTAATTAGGGAATTTCAATCCATCTTGTTTGCCTAGGATGTCGAAAGATGGATGTTGAATGATAGCCAACAATGTGTAACAAGGAAAGAGGCTGTAAAAAGTGGGTTCAATTTACCTTAGCTAATATCTTTTTATTTTTCTCAGTTCCTTTAGCCAGCCAGCAAGCCAAGGTGATTGACAAAAACACAGATCTGAATGTCCGGCATTATGTTGGCGAGATGGGAGTCGACTTCTGGGACAAAAAAATATGGGAAAAAGAATTCAATGACAACAATATTTTGGTGATGACTGCAGAGATTTTTCTCAATCTTTTACTCCACAGTTACATAAAATTATCACAAGTAAATCTTCTGATCTTTGATGAATGCCATCATGCCGCAAAGAATCATGCATACAAGCAGATCATGGAGTGCTTTGTTGACTGCAAGAAAACTGACCATCCAAAGATCATGGGTCTAACAGCATCTGTAGTAAATAAAAAGGTGAAACCATGGAACATTGAATCAGAAATGCGAGAGCTGGAATGCACACTAAGGTCAACATGTGAGACAAGCCAGGATGAAGAAGTTGAGAAGTTTGCTGCAAAACCAAATGAACTGGTCTTGAAATTTTCAAATGCCGACATTGATGACAACACAAAGATGTTAATTCAAATACTTCAAGATGTTTTGAGTCCAGGAATGGGGTTTCTTTTAGACTGTAAGGTGCGGCGTGAGGGTCCTTCAGGGAATGCTCACTGGTATGCAAAGTATACATTCAGAGAGTGTCAAGAGACCTTATCAGAGTTGGGTCCCTGGGCAGCCAACGAAGTTGCGGGTCACTTGATCAAGGATCTGGGTATGGTGCAATGTCTATTACTTGTACAGTATTTTGTAAATAAAGTCAATAAAAATGAAAATACTCATGGAGACTATAAATGTGCCAAGGTTGCCACCCCAAACCCTCCTTGTACTTTAAACTTCTGGAAGAATTTGTAAGGCTGTATACTGTTGTACTCAGCTCAAACCATCTTTCAGCCTAACCCAAGTCTAATTGGAAGACTCTGTTTGAGCTAAAACGAGTTAAAGTAATTAAATATTGAAAAATAATAATCAAAATAATATTATTATCCTTTAACCTTAATAGAGAGAGCATGCATATTTCAAGACAGCAAGGAAGGAAGAATGCTTTGTGAGTTTAGTGCAACACAGCTGCGACTACTACAAAGTGTGTATCACAATTACACATCTGCTGGCAGTGAAGATACTGGAAGCACTGAAGAGTTCCACATCATGCCTAAACTACAGCTGCTGCTGTCTGTTTTAAGAGAATTTGGGAATTCACAAAACAGTGGTAAGATATTTCAAAGTTAATTCTCGGACTTGTAACAAAATGCTTGGTAAAACAGCTGTCACAAAAATGACCATCATCTTCCTCAAAATTTGGTTCCACCATTTTTGAGGAAATAATGAGCCAGTTGACATGTAACCCTTACTTGCAGTAAAAGAAATAAATGGGAAGTAGGCAAAACCAAATGATGCAATCAATGCTTTTGTACGTGGACCGTGGACAGGACCCTTGCCTCACCAATCCTGACCCCCCCCCCCAAAAAAAAAAAAAACGAAAGAAAATGTTGGGCTCATTTTGTTCTCCCTCTGTGATCTTGTAGGTTGCTTCAAAATGGTTTTATTTGGTAGGAATTGTACAATAGTTGCATAATGCACATGGTCAAGTAGCCTGAATTTCAGCTGTGTCTCAAAGCTCTTAAATTGTGGTCTTGCTGTAATGAACACCAAATTTTGGCTTTTCTGTGACTGAAGGTCCCTTTGTGAAAACAGAACTTGTTAATTTGCTGGCTGACTGTCAAAAAGCTCCTTGGCATCAAGATGTACATTAGCATAATAATAATAATCATCATAATCATCATCATCGTCATCGTCCTCATGTTATTGATTTATAGAGAACAAGCTTTGTGGCATAGTCTTTGTAGAAAGGCGATACACAGCACTGGTCCTCAGTACGCAGATTAACATTGCTGCAAATCTATATCCTGAGCTCTCTTTTATCAAAAGCAACTTTGTGATTGGACACGGCACGGGAGGGAAAGTTAATTACTCCAATGAAACAGAGATGAACTTCAAAAAGCAAGAAGAGGTACTGCGACAGTTCAGGCTTCATAAATTCAACCTTTTGATCGCAACTTGTGTTGTTGAAGAAGGATTAGACATTCCAAGGTGCAACTTGGTGTGCCGGTTTGATTTTCCGATGACGTTTCGCTCCTATGTGCAGTCAAAAGGCCGAGCACGTGCCAAGGATTCCAACTATATAATCCTTGTGGATGAAGAAGAGTACGAGGAAAAGCAAGGCGAATTGGAGGTAGATTTTGCTGATCAAATAGTTGTTGCATAAATAAGGAGTTTAAGCAACGACGACCATGACGACCATGACGACCACGGCAACAGGAACCGCAAAAAAGCAGCAAAACAATTTTGCACGTGCAGCAAACTTTTTTGAACATTTCTTCGCCGTCATTGCACGACCACGACATAAAAATTGCCTAAATTCACGTTTTTTTAGGACGTTAACTCAAGACAACGATTTTCTAATTCCTTTTATAAAAAATTTGTTAAACTAGAGCCAGTCCTTGAAAATTCAAGTCAAGGAAAAAATTCACCGACATTTGACAAAAAAATGGCATGGAAAAAGAGACGTTTTCGCCACCGTCATCATCGTCGTTGCTTAAACTCCCTAATGTTCCATTTGATGGGGAACTCTCGGGGAGGGGGGAGGGGTCCATGTTATCCTTTCCCTTTTTCCACCACTCTTGTAAGCTTTCTTAGTAATTGTGACTTTACTAGTATGAAATAGGAAGCTGAAGCAACGACGATGGCGACGGCAACGAGAACGGCAAAAAAGCAATCGGTTTACAAAACAACAACTTTACAAGTGCCTTTTTTTGTACATTTCTTTGCCGTCGCTCTACGACTACAACGTGAAAGTGCCTTAGTTCACGTTTTGTCTGGGACATGAACACAAGACAACGACTTTCTTTTTCTTTTCCTGCACGTTGATAATTCAACTTCAGAAAAATTTGCCCGAACATTTGACGAATTGAACAAGTTGGAATAAACGCGATAAAGTGTGAAGTAGCGCGAATTCACATTGAAAGAGACGCTTTCGTAGCCGTTGCCTTCATTGTTGCTTAAGTTTTCTATTATGAAGATCGTCTTAAGTAACGGTTTAGCAGCATTTAGATAGGTTGTGGATCCAGCGGCGTCTTTTTAAGGACGGCGGCAACGAAGTTGTCAAAGAACAACTGGTTTTAGCAAAACAACAGAAATACATGTGCGTCGCACTTTTAGTTTTCATATTTGCTTTCTCTGCACGACTTCGTCATAATTTTGTTATCCGGGACGTTTAATAGAGAAGCTGAAGGCGTGTTCTTTCGCTTAAACTTGGGTGCCGTCCCAAACATTTCAATCCCAGGAAAATGCGCAAATTTGCTCCCATGTTTTCATAGAAAATTCACGCTCGTAGAGGAGTTTTTGCAGAATCAGACTTCAATTTAGATTGCATCTTTTCCTTCGTAATTGCAAACAAATCTTTAAGATGTGGTCCACTGTGCAGTTTTTGAAAAGCGTATCTGATTCAGCGCCGGCAAATGAAGTGGCACAGATATGCAAAAATGACACGTTTATGGCAAAATTTACTGGAGAACTGCAAACGCGATAAATAACGGGAGATTGTAAATGTTGAACTCGGTGAATAAATGGGGACCTCGGAGCAAGGTTGACCGGAGGGGTGGGGGGGGGGGGGGGCTAATTCGAACGCTAAAGGGTTAGTGTACCAGGGTGGCCCAGGGTTATGCGATTATTCTCGCCCGGAAAATTTGAAATCTAGGTGTTCTTCATTATTATATTGCCACTTAAACTCGTGAAAGTCGAAAAGCTGAAGCGTCTTGATTTGAAAAAAATTAAAAAAATAAAAAGTTATTCCATTCTCAGAAAAATTTAGGATGGAATAAACAATTTACATGGTAATAAACTGAAATTCCTCCCGACTCTGTCGTCGAGTTGCGCCTAGTTGTGGTTTGCAACAAAGCTAAAAAAATAGCTCTGTTCAGTTTTCCAAGGGATGTTTGGACCACACATTTTCAAAATGAAATGGTTCCTTTGGAGAACTTACTTAAAGCCTATTTAGGATTATACTGAAATGGCCTGACATTTCTGCCTTATGGTGAAATTCTTTTTGCAAATGAACCAGTCTAAACAGCCTGTTCAAACTGTTCTGACTAACTTGGTACGCGTCCTAATATTCAGCTTCCCCTCAGATAACATGGTGTTGCTTTTAATCGTCAGAGGATGCGTGACATTGAAGATATTCTATCAGAGAAATGCCATGGCCGTGAAGAGCCTACAAATGAAGAGTGTGACGAGGTAGCGGACGCGGACACTTTCCTACCTCCATACAAACCTGAGAATGGTCAAGGAGCAAGAGTCACTATGAGCAGCAGTGTTTCTCTTCTTACCAGGTAATTGCATTTTTCCGGCTCTCGACTCGCCACGTGCGTTTTCCCGCTAATCTGGCTGTAATAGCCTGTGAAAATAGCGGACATTTAGCGACGCTACGACTGGTTTCCCTGCGCAATGACGTGTGAGGAATAGACGTAGAAATTCCGTACTGATGACGTGTCACTACCCAGATCTGGGGGGCGATTCTGATTGTTTGAAGCAAATTTCTCTCGCGCCAGAACCAATCAGAAGCACTACGCAGATCTGGGTCGTCACACGTCATCAGTATGGAATTTCAGCGCTCGTTCCGCAGACGTCACTTCGCGGGGAAATATTTTAGGAAATTATGAGTAGGGGTATGAGGTGGTGAGGTTGGGGTTCAATGACCCCCCTCCCCCCTCCCCCTTCCCCCCACCTGCTGTTTGTAGCGCTCCGGCGCCTCTGTTTAGGGTCTTCAACGAACGTGGTCTTTTTAAATATAGGGCATGGCAGGGAGCATCTTTTCTAACACCGCATTGCTTCTGTTACTATACTTTAGATACTGTTCCAAGCTGCCAGGTGACAGATTCACACATCTCAGCCCAATTTACAAGTTTGAGGAAGTTGGAAGAAATGTTTATTTGTGTAAACTGCAACTGCCAAATAACTGCCAGTTACGAAGAACTATATATGTGAGTGCAAGAAAGAATAATGATCAGTACCAGGACTCTGACTGTGATGAACTGAAGACTTGTTACCCTTAATAATCCACATTATTTTTAGCTTTAGGTTTCTAACCTCACCAAAAGAATGGCAAAAGTGGCTTATTCACTGAAGCATTTCTGCTAAACTCATGCACCACAAAAGCGTTTAATGTTTAAAAATGATCGTCATTGAATTCCGCTGGAGAGTACACAGTCAGTTCATCCCTCCTTTAGTTAAACAAAAACAACACTTGACAACTTTTCTCTTTATTCCAACATGCAGGGTATTCCTATGCCTCGAAGAAACCTCGCTAAAATGGCTGCCGCTTTCTACGCCTGCGTAGAGCTTCACAAGATTGGCGAACTTGACGATAATCTGTTGCCAGTCCGCAGTTTATCGGATGATGAAAGTGAATCGGAAGAAGAGGAGGAAGGGTTTGCTGGGAAGAAGAGAGAAAAAGCAGGAACAAAGAAACGAAAGCGAGTGTATCAAAGAAAGGTAAGGACAATCGGAGGATAACTCATTAATGCAAAGAATTATGTGTCTATATCTCCAGGCGCACAGAGTACAAAGTGCGTGATGAGCCATACCAAGAGAAAATACGCTTCACGCCAGAGTTGAGGTGTTCTTCTTCCACCCTCTCTCGCGGGAACCTCTCTTAATTTCTAAAAGGTAAACGATAAATGGCAAAGGTCCTTATTTTACGTCGGTAACTCGTAATAGCATTCATTAGAATGACAAACCTGAGGCCGAAGTTGCGCTCATTTTACCCCTTCCCCTTCATCAGTATTCCGTTTTACGGGTATTAAAAGCTACTGAAAGCTACACCAAATGGAAAGAAGTCGAATCAAGGATTTGAGGTCACACGCCTGGGAATGGAACTCGGCTCTTTCTTCATTGAACGCCACGCACTTTTAACTGACTGTGCTTATCCTTGTTCCTTTATTTCTCGTGGGTTAAATCATTCGGGTATGACCATGTCCATGTCCATTTCAGTGGCGGATCCAGGGGAGGTGCTCGCCTCCCCCTTTTTATTTTTAGACCAAACTGAAACTGAAAAAAAAAATTTGAGACCGCGCCCCCTTATCTCAGGGTCTAGATGACCACCTCCCTCCCCCGCCCCCCTCCTATCTGAAAGTCTGGATCCGCCACTGCATTTAACACAATACTTGCTAACTGGGAAGTTTAAGCAAACACGACGGTAGCGTCAGCGAAACGTCAAGAAAAAAGTGGACTCGCGTTCTTTAAAACTTTTTTGCGATTATTCCAAGCTGCTCAATTTATCAAATGAAGGTAAATTTTTCTGCAATTAAATACTTAAGAGCGCATTCAATTCGGAAAGAAAAAGGGAGTATTGTCCATCGTTTGTCATGTCCTCTGGCTAACTCTACATGGGAAAGGTTCAGGTTTAGTGACCACATAGAAATGTACTGGTATGCTGCAGGTTTTGGAGACTAAGAGGGTGTATGTTGATATGAGTACCATTACCAGTTCCTACCTGAACTCCTTATTCAGTTAAAATTTTATCCTTCCTTATATCTATAGGTGATACCTTTTACAGAAGATTTATTTATTTCATTTTATTTTTGTTTTCTCTTTACTTACCGTCATTTTGCCGACTTTATAGGAGATAATTACTGTATTGTTGCCCACCTAGAATAGCTCCGCTAATTGTGGGTAACATTTGTCATTTGACAATTGAATAAACTCTTGTTGTTGTAGTTGTTGTTTACTCTTTGAGCCTATAGCTTTCTGCATAGTCCTGTTACCATTGCCGTTGTGATAGCTTAATTTAAAAACTCCCGAATGACACAGCTAGAGAAATGCATGGCGCTAGTCTGCAAGAGAACGGGGAACTGAATTTTGCTCGGGCCAAACTAAAGATTTTACATGTAACGGGTTAGGTCTTTACATAACCGAAACAATCTCGTAGAATGGACAGTCCCGCCTCAGTAACAAAACGCATGGCTATGACTACCCCTCTTCTTTTCGGAAGGAGGAAGAGAGATCAACAATGAAGTGATAATGGTTGCATTCTAATAATAACACATCAAGCGCCATGACTTGTCTGACTTCCGTGATATTTGCTTTACAATTATTTCTTTTCTTTTTGCTTGTCTAGGTTCCTCGGGTATTCAGAGGTAGCTTGCCACAGGAGAGTCAGCCCCAGTACCTCACGGCTATCACTATAACTATCACCAAACTCACCAGCCGACAGGGTCTTGATGTGAGCCAGCGATACTTTTCAGATGGTGTCTGCCACCTGTTTGGATTATTGACGAATGTCCCAATTCCTGCGGTTAGTTCTAGTTCAGTCACTTTAGTTTTACTGTGGAGTAAAATGTCCTCTTCAGATGTGATCGTCGATTTTCAGCTGCTATGCTTGTGTCCTCAGAATAAATTTTTAATCTTTAATCTCTCAAGATAGTCAAAAAGTGTAAAAGAAAATTGCATAAATCGAAAAAACAAAACGATCAGTATATACTACTGCGTGAAAGGAGTGCCATGAAAATGTTTTATAACTTGATACAGACAGTCACAGCCAAATTCAACAGACATTCACAGTTTCAACCTGACAATGAAACAGTAAAACTGAATATAATATTATGTGTTAACATCAGATAACGTTACAGATCCTAAATATAAGGGTTTAATAAGAAGAACTTGATTGGTTGATTTATTGTCTGACTGATTGTTGATTTAATTATAGTCGATTAATTAACGTGGTTTACTTAAATCCACAGGTGAGATCATTCAAACTTTATCCCGACTATGGAGAAGTTACAGTAACGCTAAAATGCCACAAGGCACCACTGCGCGCAAGGATGACACGACGAAACTTGGAAATTGTTCAAAACTTCCATTGTTTCTTGTTCAGTCAAGCTCTTCGTGAGTCCGTTAAATTTAAACCTAAAGGGTCCGAGGGCAGTACAGATGGTTATTTTGTTGTTCTTATGAAACCTAATGGGTATGACGTGGACTATGATTCTATGCGCCATGCTTTAACAAGGCAAACTTCGCTGAGACCTCTAACCGGTGAAACCCGCAAGATTGACGTTGACATGGTGGTCTCAAAAAATTACATGGAGTCTCGACAAAAGTTTGCGGTTTTAAACGTGCGCCATGATCGGAGTCCTATGTCACCCTTCCCAGACAAATCCAAAGCCAAAACTTTTGAAGGCTACTTCCGGGAGTATTACGGAAAGTCTTTTACAACCATGAAACAGCCTCTCATTGAAGTAAAAGACATTTCTGGAAGGGTCAATTTCCTGGTGGACAGAAAGGTGGCAGCCAAGAGTAAGCGCGACGTTATTGAACTTTTCCCGGAATTATGCAACGTGTTTCCTATTTCTGCTTCCCTTCTCAGTGTGTCTCTGATGCTGCCCTCAATTTTACACCGTGTGAACGCGCTCCTGCTTGTTGATGATGTCAAGGAAATGGTCGATGGAGTGCGTGACAACACAGATGAATCTAGCTTCCCTTCAATTGGTGCTGGTTATGCTAACGATGGAAAGAGTTTACTCCGTACTGATAAGGACAGCTTCTCATCGAAGAAGAACGTGGGTCGTAAGGATTATAATGAGCTTTTTTCAGATTTAAAATCCTTGTTCAATGGAAAGCGAACTGCTACTGTTCATCCCGACTCCGCATTTGTGCTTCAAGCTTTGACCACCACCCACAGCGGAGACGCCTTCAATCTAGAAAGGCTCGAGATGCTTGGAGACGCTTTCCTAAAGCTGGCGGTTTCACTTCACCTCTATTGCACCTACCATGACAAAGATGAAGGAAAACTAACGCTGCGCAAGGTGAGACAGATCAGCAATTTGGCGCTGTTTCGTGGGGCTGAAAGAACCTCTTTAGCAGGGTTCCAACAGAGTACTCAACTTGCACGTGATGTATGGTGTCCCACTGGATGTCAACAGAGTAGCGCTGAATCAGGCGTTACAGTTATGGAAATCGATGAGGTGAGGGGGAGTTCAGAGGCTACGAAAATGGAAGTCGATGATGCCGATAGCGCGGAACATCAGGGCTTAGGAAGCAGGCGAGACAAGTGTAACACTCAGGTCATAGCAGATAAGTCTGTTGCTGACAGCATGGAAGCTCTCATTGGAGCGTATTTGATCTGCTGTGGTTACACCGGAGCACTTCGCTTTATGAAGTTCCTGGGTCTTAAGGTTCTTCCTGAGGATGATGACATCGACACGGACATTGGTGAGCTCGCTGAGAAGAGCAGAAAAGGGTGTTATGCCAGATTTTGGCCTGAGCAACCCAACACATCAGCAGCTTACCAAAGTCATGATATGTTGTCACAGATGGTCTCTGGCTTGGAGAATTTTGAAAAGAACTCCATTAAGTACACGTTCAATTCCAAATTGTATCTGGTAGAAGCTTTGACACACGCCTCGTATCAGGCTAACCGAGTCACGCCCTGTTATCAAAGACTGGAGTTCCTTGGAGACGCCTTGTTAGATTTTCTGGTAACACAACACCTATATTTCCGTCACGAAAAATTGTCACCCGGTGAGCTGACGGATATTCGCCAGGCTTTGGTGAATAACAACATCTTTGCAGCCATTGCTGTGAAATACGAGTATAACAAGTATTTGAGGCAGATGTCACCGAAATGGTTTAAATCCATCGAAAATTTTATCACTAGATTGGACGACGAAAAAGAAGAGAATCTGGTAAGTTGAGCTTATTGTGCAGCTGACCNTCCATTAAGTACACGTTCAATTCCAAATTGTATCTGGTAGAAGCTTTGACACACGCCTCGTATCAGGCTAACCGAATCACGCCCTGTTATCAAAGACTGGAGTTCCTTGGAGACGCCTTGTTAGATTTTCTGGTAACACAGCACCTATATTTCCGTCACGAAAAATTGTCACCCGGTGAGCTGACGGATATTCGCCAGGCTTTGGTGAATAACAACATCTTTGCAGCCATTGCTGTGAAATACGAGTATAACAAGTATTTGAGGCAGATGTCCCCGAAATGGTTTAAATCCATCGAAAATTTTATCACTAGATTGGACGACGAAAAAGAAGAGAATCTGGTAAGTTGAGCTTATTGTGCAGCTGACCCAGAAAATTGTTTGTGGCAAGCGAAATCCTGTTGACTAGTGCCAAAAAATTATCTGGATTGATAAAATCCTCTCATTAACAAGGCTGTTTAACGTAAGGTCTCTAGTACCATTACCGAGCGTTTGTGGGAGCTGGGTACGACGCTGTTGTGACGCGTAAACGAAGGAAACTATGGCGACGAGAGTGATGACGTCACAAAAGTTAAATTTGTGAAGTTATGAGATAGGGTAATAGGTTGGCATATCTTAAAGAACATGATAAAAAAATGCCAACTTGCAAAAAAAGAGTCTGTTGGTGCAAATGGGTGGGGGAAAAAACTGTATGTTAAATCTCGTCCTCGTCCTCAAATCTGAAAGTCTCCAATGTTGATTACGATACGTAAGATGGTTTCTATAGGCAACACCTACCAATCACAGCATATTTTGGCTGTTCAAATAATCGGGATTCCCATTCATCTTGGCTGGAAAAACAGCTTCTCGGTCCAATGTTTTGGTGAGGGCAATAATTCTTCTTTCAATTACTAGTGGCCCTTATTTTATTGTTGTGGAAGGACACTAGTTTGAGTTAAGGTACGGTAAAACGAGTGAAAAAAACCTGCAACTTGTTTTTCAACGCTGCTGAAAAAGGAGTCGAAAACCGATGTTGCGAGGTTTTACCACCCACGTTAAAACCTGTCTTGCAACAAATCAGATTCAGATTGTTGCAATGTGGGTGAATACCGACTGCTGATTGGATGAAATAACGGGGAAATGACGTCTTTTGCTTCAAAATAAGTTTGCCTTGAGCCGGTTAAACGCACGACCTGTCTCACAGAGAAACCTGTTTTAAGCACCAACACCCACGGGACCTTCGCTGGTGTCCGCTAAGTACAGGTTCGTTTTACTTAAAATGTGGGAAAAAAAACATTGAAATGTATTGAGCTATTCGTCCGCTTAATATGGGATCTGCGCGCTTAATACACGTTTCCTTGTATTTGTTGCAAGACAAGGTTGATTCGTTGGTATTTGGCTCTAGGTATATAAAAAGGAGCTATAGCTAAAGGTGACAAACGCTGGTAATAGTTGTAAGAGACTCAAACATCTAAATGAAGATATGACCGATGCAGTTTTGATCGCAAATTAAGCCCGACAAGAATTCAGGGCTTTAACGGGATTCCCATGCATGTAAGCATCTTTATCCCAGACTCCCTTGTTCGTGTTATTCTGGTTCGTAATGGATCTTCAGTGTTTATTTAGCAAAGGCTACGGGAAAACGTACTGAGCAATTGTTTTATAATTCATAGGGGATTGCCGATCCATTTATCATCATATCCACAAAAGACGAAGAAGGTATCGAAGCTCCCAAGGTCCTGGGTGATATTTTTGAGTCCGTGGCTGGTGCAGTGTTCTTGGACAGCGGTATGGATTTGACCAAGGTCTGGGGAGTGTACTACCGCATGATGCAACCTTACATCGGTATGACATCATTTTTCAACGTTAGATAATGTCCCCTCCTGGTGACGGGGCCGCCACTCCTTCGTGCGTTGTCACCCGAGCCCTAAAGGACTAGTCCCCTGCAAAGCAAAGGCGCTACCTTTTTCATCAGTTTTTTTAAAGGCCTTGTAATCATGTCTGGATTTGAGGATCGAACGTGCAACCTCCCCCGGGAAGTACTTCTCCCAAAAATTGGGCAGGGGGTAAAATTTGTGGATTGGCTCCGCTCAGGGTGCTAAATTCTAATTATGACGCGACTAGAATGGCCGCAGCACCTAGCCACAATATGAAAGGCGCTATTTGTTCGACAAAAGAATAGTCCTTGACGCTAACGAAAACTGTTAGTGCGTGCAAAAGTAAGTAGAACATTCAAGGTTCAAACTGCGAATTTAAGCCGCGCCCACAGATTTTCGGACAAACGTCTCGTCATTTTTATAATGGTATCCCCCTAGAAACGTCCCGCTCTGGGGACGAGCGGCGAGACGTCAGTGGTTTGAAAACTCGGTTCTAAAGTTTATGTCTCGTGACAAATAAAAACTGTTACTGTTTACTTGACCATATTGATGCTTTTGCATGTTACCATAGTCAAACTCATTCAACAGGTTGCAACATGAACCATTATTATAGTTAAGAACTACGTGTTTTGTTCTTTGTCAGACCACTACTCTGTAAACATACCGATCAATCCCATCAGGCGTGTGTACGAAGAGGACAACGAACGGGAATTTAGGTACGTGAGGTATTGAAAATGTTCATATTCCTGTGTAGGACACAGGAGGTAGTCATGAAATAATGACCCTGTCGCTCTTAACTCATATTTTTCTCTCTGTAGGGTTTTACACTTTTTCTCGCTTTTGCACGAGTTCTTCAAAAGATAATAATAAAATCAGGTTTTTAGCTGTACAGGCATTTAATTTCCGAGTTATTTTAGTTTGAATCCGAACATAAACTGTCAAAAGATCATCCAAGGTGACGACAACAATCTTGTAAGGACTGTCCTTATCACACGGATGGTCGCAGAAGAAAAACTACGAACGTTGTAGTTTGCTGTAGAAAAAATCTTGTAAGGGATGCTGTTTTCTTAATCATTTGTCAACTGATTTGAGAAAGAAACTTGGAGTCTGTAATACCAGAAACAAAGCGATAGAAAATCACCCACACTAAGGCGACATTGACTCAAGACTACAGCTTCATCATCAACAACCTTTTCAATGACTGTTGACCCCAGAAATAGATTCCATGCTGCTGTGCGTCTGTTCAGTAATAGATCACAGATGACGTCAAAATGTGGTAAAAACAGCGGCGAGTGTGTCACTTTTGGTTTTATACAGTGATCACAAGAGAAAAACTGAGACCGATACACATAAGCTTACCTGCCTCGTAACGCTTGACTGTTCGAGGATTTGTGCTAGTTTAGGCATTTTTGAAGACCCAAACTCTACTTTTCGTCTCTCATCCTCAATGTTGTGCCACTGTTCGAGCTACCTTTAGAAAACAACAAACACCCCAACTTTGAATGGAGCGGACAGGGGAGGGGTGTGGATTCTTATATTCTTTTGAGTGCAATGTCTCAACAATTTTGTCGCCGATTGTAGCTATGTTTTAATAGATCTTGGGTAACGACAAATCACAGCGCGCGTAGCATTTACATCATCATTGTATAATTTGTAAGATTCCTGTTCATATCTTTAGCAAAGCAGAAGTTCTTGCCGATGGAAGGGTCAAGTGTACTTTACGAGTTTCCTGGGGCACGTTCGATGGTCATGGCAAAAATTCCAAAATTGCCAAGGCTACCGCTGCAAAGCTGGCAGTGCAGGCGCTGGACAGGAGAGATTCACCAGGAACAAGCCAAGGAAGTGGCTAATCAAGGGAATGGACATCACCATGGTAACGGTGACAGACAGCAACCTTTCAGAACAAGAATCTAAAGGAATTAAGCCTAAGAAGACTTGCTGGCTTTTATTAACTAAACAAAGATTGTACTTCATTGTACATTCAATTCATACTCACCTAATATTGTGCTTTAACAATTGTGTTTTTTTAATTGTTTAATATTTTTTTTACTAATGTGTACTCCTTTCTTTAGCATCCACAATCAGGATGAGTGATGGACAGTTCCTTTATACGTAAATAACTAAACTTGCTGGGTAGCCTACGGAGTAGGCGCATGAGAAATATGGCGCGGAAGAGCCATACGCGCGAGGGAGGCTTATCTCTCGTTTGCGCGACAGTTCATCGGCCATATGAATTATTTAAGTCTTACTTAAAAGTGTTTTGACCAGAAATCTTTGAATTTTAGAATTGTTGTTTTTTTGGCCACTCTTTTGAGTATAATAATCAGAATAGAAATTCAACCCACTCCCTTTAGGATAATAAACAACAGCACCATCGGAAAATACTGCCCAGTAGCTTTCAGATGAATGGTTAAACTTTAAAATTTCATCCATTTTCTCAGATTTATATGCATCTTGTTGGGTTCAGTGGCCTTCATTTTTAAGTCACTGTTTATATTTTATCATGATCCACAGCTTGGAAAGCTAAAACCAATTTTCATGACTGAAGAATTTTAGTCAACGAAGAACTCCCTCCTTTCACCCTCACTGGCTGTGAGAGTCAGTAAAGTAGTTTAAAATAAAAAGGGTACTGTCATTGAGCAAAGTCAGACCCTTCTGGGAAACTGCCCACCTACCCCTCCCCTAAGTCAACATTAACACTTACTTCTCACTTAGGGCAAAATGTTGGCGTAGGGGAGGGGTAGGTGGGCAGTTTCCCAGAAACATATAATGAACCGACCCTTCCTGCCCTCTCGGGTAGCCAACCAGAACAATTTGCTTCATCTTGCCCGCTCGTTGAAGCAGCCATGTAATAAATTACGTTCAGGTAGAATTTAAAATTTGAATCGTGTTTGGCCCTGGTGGCCGGCAATAAGTAGAACTATAATAAAGTTATTTAAATTGAATATCGTATGTCCGTTATTTTCTTGAGAAACCCTCTCGAAACTGGGTTTTCATAGCGCCACTAACGGGGCGGAGATTAGGAACTGGATGGGGGACGGCTAGCCGCTGTAATCACGTCGTGAAGATCCCCTACACTTCTTAGACCCCCTACCCTCTTCTTCCCTAGGGCAAGCTCAACTTGGGTTCAACGACCGAAGTAAGGAGCTGAGTCTTTGATCTACTTGCCCGGCGGGGAAAGGGCCAGGTTAATTGTCGGTAACTTGAATTCCAAGGTAGATTTAAGGGTAAGAAGCAACATTTTGACGCTAAAAAGGCCGAAATGAAATGCACTTCCCACACACATCTCCGTTAGGGGCAAACTCGTCCACCAAGTCAGATGCACTCACAAATGTTCTTTGATCTCGATTTTCGCTCTTATTTTGAAAAAACGAAATTTATCGCCAAAGCGGCACGCCGCAAGACACGGATCAAGTTTGTCGCTTGATGACTCATTTCATCGAGGACACCAACTGTAGAGAATATACCCAACTCGTGTTTCTGCCTCGTTGTGCATATCCACGTACATTCCACCCGCCATGAGAATAAACCTCGGCTACGCAAGGCCGTTCGGCCCGGGCATCGTGAGGAATATCTTGCAAACCAGTGAAAGGAAATTGAAACGTAACATTCAAAAGCGAAAATCCAAAAAAAAAACTCTCATAATTGGCAAAAAATTCCTAATAAATTCGTATTCCTTAACTGCTCGAGATGCAACGTGGTTTCACACGTAGCCCGTTTTTTGGCGGTGAAGGACTGCGTGACGAGTCAAAAGGGGGCTGCATGCAATAGTAGACTGGGCTATGTTACAAATGGTCTGTTTGAATTTTGTCGATATGTAAATAAGTTTGATTTTAAGAATGATTTGTTTACAAAATATCGTGTGAGCCACTGTTAAAACCTTGATGCATTCATTTCTCGGAATAACAAGCCAGGTGCTCTTGAAATTCCCGGAAAAATACTCAGGCCCTGAGGATTATATCTCTGTCTTCCAGTCAAGTGTGGAAAGTGAAGACCGTAATCAGCACAGCCTAAAGCCGACCCACACGCCAAGCCAATATTAAACTTCCTTGTTTGAATCACGGGCGCTGATTTATCGAAGCTTACAAGCTGTCATCCAGATTTTTTTGTCTAATTTGCAAGTCAATGTGATCATGGAAAGTGAAGACAGCCAAAATTCCTCAGCCTCCGAAAACAAAATGGAAACCCAACAGATTTTTTCCTCTAAACGTAGAATAGATCGGTCAAGGATGCGTACAAGAGTCGGAATCTCTCCTCCTGCACCCTTAAAATATGGTTACTTATTCACCAGACAAAAACGAACCATTATATATGGCACACAAAATTGAACAAGTGTAAAATATGAGGAGCCCATAACCTTGATGATAAAAGTGGCCACAGTTTCGTCCATTTAAGGTTCCTAAGTTTGCTTAGACCTCTGGTTAAATTCATCTTCAAAAATTGGGGGTGATCCACAGGGATAGTCCAGTAGTTTATGGACCGGATCCACACAGGGGTCCGGGGTCCATTGACCGAGGGTCCATGTTTTGTACATGTTGTTGGTAACGTGCCCAGGCTGGTTGGAAACCCCATTAAGAGAACCTTCTTTCAATTGGGCGCCACCAAACAATGAGTGACCATTCATGCATTTAATAGTTTCCCGGAAACACATCTCAGGCGGCTCGGAAATTCCCGGAAAAATTTAGAGCCGAAAAAGTGCTTAGTGAAGCAATTTAAATTAACAAGCTACTCAGGCACTGAGAGTTTTATTCCGTCTTCAAGTCAACAAAAAAACTATTGTGCGTGTGTGTCCGCTGTGGAAGGTGTTGCACATATAAAGGGATCCTCTGATACGTTGGCCTTTCGCAGTCGAAAATCTGATCGCCGCACTTCCTTCTTTGATTGAAGTTGAAAGGGACTTGTCGACGACCTACAGACATTATAGATTTTTTGATTCCCTCCGGCAAGTTAAAGAAATTGGTGACAATGGAAAGCGAGGACAGCGCTTCGAGTTCCTCAGTCTCCGGAACTGAAACAGAAACCCAGCCGAAAGATAGTGATGTCGAGGCGGGATTCACAGCTCGCCCTTACCAAGTGGAATTACTAGAAAGGGCTCTGGAAAGAAACACAATCGTTTGTCTCGGAACGGGAACTGGAAAAACATTCATCAGTGTAATGCTAATAAAGGAACTCTCTCACCAGATCAGAGAAATCTACGACAACGGTGGAAAAAGAAGTTTCTTCCTCGTTAATACAGGTTAGAAAGTATTTGTTTACGTTTTGTGTTAAATGGAGGGGGTGGAGGTGAGGTTTGTACGGGCTGTATGTGTAGCGTACCGGTGTCGTTTTCAATTTGCGATATAGAGTGTTTTCACTCACGTGGCCAGCATTATGCAAATTTATTGTAACAAAAGAAAGCGTTTGCATAAGAAAAGAGTTCAACTCCCAGGGGACTGGTTTAGGACACCAACATGGCCGGCGTTTCATTGTTTTGGGACACCAATATGGCCGCCGTGACGTCATGTGAAAACACTCTATTCTCTTAAATTTGATCTTAAAGTGATTCGCTGGTTTGCACTGCGCATCTCTTACAGCACAAAACAAGATGGCCGCCGTGAAAAAGAGTATCTGACGTAACATTACTAAAATGGAGTTAACTGAAGAGAAATGCTATTGGAATTTTCGCTTGCGGTTGTTTCTTGTCGAGATGAAACTCAATGTGTTGGAAATGTGCATAACGTAAGCAGTACGTACGCGTGTTGCTGAGTTCGACTCCCTCACGGACAAGCTCAATACACTTTGATTTTCATTTAAGCGCCATCTTTATTACATTGTGTCCTAACTGTGATATCTCGATGCAAACCCGGTAAAAGGGGGTTTTCTAATGCTTTCTTCCCCCTTCCACATACATGCCACTTTGAAACTCGTTCCAGTCCTCTCTCAAAAATAGGAGGTAATACATATGGTGCGCACTTTCTGCAGCTCTACCGCAAAAACGAGTGCGGTGATCCCCATTTTTTATTTCACGATCTTAATAGGAACAATGCTTCCTTTCCATGAAAAAAAATTGGCATAAATCTGTGTTCAGTTTTTTTCAACAATTTTACTAAATTGTACGGATCGAGCTATAATGGGTCAAATAGCGCGTGTGCCAAATAAGTCTACTTTGAGGTGTAAAGTAAAACCAAGGGCATTAAAAGGCGTTTTGTGGTACCTAAGTCGATAAACAATACATTTAAGTCAAATTCTGTACGAAACCACATGCATTATCGAAAAAAGTCTCACAATTTTGTCTAGTTTAGTCTGCGCGCGGTTTTTGCCAAAGGGTCTATAAATAGCCGTATTTGTCAGCATATTTGTGACGTGAAAACGAGCTGAGTGATCCCCACCTTTTATTACATTTTTATAATCTTCTTGACTTGTTACATCAGTGTACCAAGTTTCATCTACAATCTATGTTAGGTTCTTTTACTAGGGAATCACCCTTAATTGCACTGTAATTTGAATTAAAATTTTTTGGCTTTTAAAATCAGTACAGTATGTGGACCTTGGTCCGCACGAAAAAAAGACGTAAATGAGTATTTCTTATCTTAGAAGAGGAGTAGTGAGCTGAAACATTTAACTAACTTGTGACAAACCGACAGCTTCTGAGCTTTGCCGAAAACCCTGCATCATAGAAAATGACCGCTCCGTTTAAAGGTCCCTGGTCCGACCAGTGGTTCCTCGGTCCGGCCACTTGTACCCCGGCATGCAAACTGTGCGCAAAAAGAAACGTTCCAAGCACCAACTGATCTAAATTCCTGTATATTTTCTATAGGCATCATTTTTACTCCGAAACCAAAGTGAGATTTCTGTGCCAAGAGCTATAGTTTGGTCTCATGTGCATGAAGAATTAATAGTTTCGCTTCTGTGCGAAAGTGTGTCGTGCAGTTATGATGCGACGGCAGCGAAATCGCCACATTTTAAATGAATTCAGTCAAAGTTTAGAGGCGGAGAAAAAATTAATTTGTCGTCGCTTGTCAAAAAAAAAACTTTCCATCAGGAAATTTCATGCAGCAACGGCAAAGAAATCCGACCGACAAGCATGCGTCATCATCCACGTACAGTCCGTGCGGAGTAATGTTTTGCTGGTTAAACCCTTTAAGCCCTAGCCTGAGAAAACAGCCGACATTTGGCGACGTTACCACTGCTTTCCCCGCCAAGTGACGTCTGAGATACAAGCGCAGAAATTCCATACTGATAATCTGGGTAGTGCTTCTGATTGGTCGTGCCGCGTGGGAAATTTGATTCAACCTCCGCTTTAATATTGAAAGTGCTTTACTGAAAATGTGACTCATAGTCGAAAGATCCTCACTTCAATTCATAAATCTTAATTTACAATGAACTAAACGAAGCGAAAACTAAACTTTCTGAGGCTCTCCCTTTTCAATCACTATTTGGCTAGGGCCAAGTACGCAAAATTTACTTGAGAATATTGTCTAAAACTTTGGTTTCAAAATTCAACCTGTCGACCGAATTTTTTTTTTGCACTTTGAAATTAAAGAACATTTCTTGTACACCATGTACACCAAAAAATTAGCTTTCTTAACGCACTTAATCGCATATGCGTGAATTAAAAATATATCCAAATAATTAAAGGCGCCATAAAAAGACAAAACTTACAGAACAAAATTCACCTGTGTTCGTGTTAACTTGATTTTCCAGCCTTTCCTAACATGAGGACAACCTCTAATCGAGCCTAAGAAGGCAAACAGATCATTAAAAACTCGGAAATTTTTTTTGTATTGTAACCTTATTTTCTTCCCGAAAATTTCATCGCAAAGTAAAACCGGCCGGACCAAGGACCACCAATGCAGACGTACTGTACATTCTCGAACACGCTAAGATTTACACCACAAGTCACCTAGCATTCACTTATTAACAAATATGTAGCCCCTGCGGCAAAGTGAGAACTAGCTTTTGCCTCTAATATTCCCTAAGTTTGTATAAATTTCGTAGGCATTTAAATAATCATAGCATTTTGTAATGTAAACAACCAAAACCGATCAAACTTATAATCATCAGCTCTTTCCTTTGAAGCTGTCGACAACCATAACTCATGATAACTGCAAATTATGTTATTTGGGAACTGTACAAAAAACCTTAGATTAACAAATTTTTACAGTGGTTCTTTTGACCAGCTACTATATTTTATTTTCTCTCAGTTCCTTTAGCCATCCAGCAAGCCAGGGTGATTAAGAAACACACAGATTTGAAGGTGAAGCATTACGTTGGCGAGATGGGAGTCGACTTCTGGGACAAAAATAAGTGGGAAAATGAGTTCAATGAAAACAATGTTTTGGTGATGACTGCCCAGATTTTTCTCAATCTTCTACTCCATGGTTTCATCAAACTTTCGCAAGTAAATCTTCTGATATTTGATGAATGCCATCATGCCAAGAAGAGTCATCCATACAAGCAAATTATGAACCGCTTTGTTGGTTGCCAAGAAACTGACTATCCAAAGATCATGGGTCTAACAGCATCCGTAGTAAATAAAAAGGTGAAACCAGGGAAAATTGAATCTGAAATCCAAGAACTGGAATGCACACTGAGGTCAACATGCGAGACAAGTCAAGATGAACATGTTGGGAAGTTTGCTTCAAAACCAAATGAACAGATCATTCAGTTTTCAAATGCTAACTTTGACGACAGCACAATCATCTTACTTCAAAAACTTCAAGAAGTTTTAAGACCAGAAATAAACCACCTTGGTGACTATGAAGTGCAAGGGAATGGTGTATCATTGGCTGCTCACTCGTTTGCCTTGTCGGCACTGACTGAGTGTCAAGAGATTTTATCAGAAATGGGTCCCTGGGCTGCCAACAAAGTTGCAGGATACTTAATCAAGGACCTACAAGGTAAAGTGGCGGATCCAGACCTTCAGATAAGGGGGAGGGGGGGGGCAGCCATCCTGACCCTGAGATATGGGGAGGGTGGCCGGTCTCCAAAAAGGGGCGGGGGGGGCAGGCCCTTCCCCTGGATCGGCCACTGAAGGTATGGTCTAAATGGCAGGGTTGTCAAGCAGTAACCAGTGGTCCCCTCGTTTTTTGTTGTTGTTGTTTTTTGTCTTCATTCAAACCATATTGTGGGTTCCTCCAATTTTTAATTTCTTCGAGTGCAGCCTTGAAGGGCATGATAAAAAGCATACTTAAGAGGACCTTAACAATTACATAGCAAAGCATAAGTAATTAAAAATTGAAATAACTGCTTGTTCAAAGTAATGGTTTTATAGTGTTAGACCATTATTTTTTTGTTATCATCTCAACTTAGAAACAAGTAATTATAAAGAGATTTTATGCCTTTTCTTGATATTGTAATACTGCATAGAATTTTTCGTTGTAAATAAGGGTAGGAACTTTTTTTTAGTTTTTATAGACAGAGCATGCATGTTTCAAGACTGCAAGGAAGGAAGAATGTTCTGTGAGTTTAGCAAAACACAGCTGCAACAAGTACAAGGTGTTTATAACAATTATACATCCACTCTTGGCAGTGGGGAGACTGGCAGCACTGAAAAGTTATACGTAATGCCCAAAGTAAAGGAGCTGTTGTCTGTTTTAAAAAAAGAATATGGGAATGCACAAAACAGTGGTGAGTTAGTCAGTTTCGATAATTGTAACAAAATGCTTGCAAATAGACTCACATTTCTTGCATTTATATATCTTAAAGCTGTCCCAGTAATTAATTTCATCTAAAACTATCCTTCCTTTGGGTGGAAGCGAAGTGTCCTTGACATTTTTTAATCTGATATGAAGCAAAGGGAATCAAGAACAAATGCAATCAACACTAAACCACCTAGGTAAAGAACGTGCGTTCCCTATTAGAATGCATTGCATGGTCCCATATCTCAACCCAGCCTGCTGCAAAAAAGTGTCCCCATTCTGAAATCTTACAGCCTACTCATGAAAAAAGGATTTACGTAGTAGTATTTCCGAACCTGTGAGCAAGCTCCCTTGGGGATATCTGGGCTCCACACGGAAGATAAAACAACTTTTTGACTCAGTGGAATGAAGACACCGCATAGAATTGGGGTAATGCATTGCGACTGAAATGCTTTTAGACTAAGTAGATGAGGTTTGGGGGAGGTTCTTCCCTTCCCCTAAATCCTATCCCCCAAACCAAGAGAAAAAGTAGAGAGAATAAGAGAGCATGTTCACAGACTGCCAAACACGTGGCTGTGTCCAAGCCTTAAGCTTTTGTCCTTTGCTCCTCACAGACCGTCTTGAGTCTCATCTTGGGTTTCTTGATTTGAAAAGAACAGAATGCATCAGTCTGCAGGTTGGACGTGCAATGAAAATCTTCACTAGCGTACTATTGTTTTTTGTTTATAGAGAACAAGCTTTGTGGCATAGTGTTCGTAGAAAGGCGATGCACAGCACTGGTACTCAGCGAGCAGATAAACATTGCTGCAAAATCAGATCATGAGTTGTCCTTCATCGAAAGCAGCTTTGTGATTGGCCATGGCACAGGTGGAAAGGCTAATTACTCCAATGAAACAGAGATGAACTTCAAAAAGCAAGAAGAGGTATTGCGACAGTTCAGGCTCCATGAATTCAACCTTTTGATCGCAACTTCTGTTGTTGAAGAAGGATTGGATATCCCAAAGTGCAACTTGGTGTGCCGGTTTGATTTTCCAATGACACTACGCTCCTATGTGCAGTCAAAAGGCCGAGCACGTGCCAAGGATTCCAACTACATTGTTCTTGTAGATAAAAAGGATTATGTGGAAAAGCGAGGCGAATTGGAGGTTAGCGATCAGCTCTTTCTTTTTATTCTTAGGGTACATAAAAGTGACTATTCACTGTGTGAAGAAGAATGTTCTTGCTATGTAAGAATACATTGTACTTCCAACAACGTCTTTAAAGGGTTATTTGTTCTCTTCTTTCTTGTCCACGACGGATTTTAATTACCAGCAAAGAGGTAGTAAGAAGTCATCATTTTCCAACTTGCTTTCTGTTCAGTGAAAGTGAACACTGCTGTTTTTAAACAGTTTAAAAATTGTCATTTCGATCAAGTCACTCTGTGTCAGCAGCTTCTTAGAATCCAACTTCGATAACTCCTCTTACGTTGCTAACGTTAAAACGCCTTCCACTTGTAACGCACATGTGATTCAGGAACAGTAGGTAAACAGTAGGTAAACAGTAGGTTTTCGACAACAAAAATTGTGCTGTTTGCGTCACAATTTATACTTAGAACTATTAACTTGTTGGCATGAATGGTGTCTCAGTTGAACAGCCGTGTTCATATAGTCACATTATATGCTTGCGTATTTTTTGCCCCATTCCTAGACTAACAATCAGCTTTGGATAACAGTGTGTTGCTTTTAATCGTCAGATGATGCGTGAAATTGAGAACTGTCTGTCAAAGAAGTGCCATGGCCGCAAAGACGGATGATTTCTCCTCACACTTCTTCACCGTCCGCGCCTGTCAAAGAATGGAGGTATACTTGGACTCTTGGCATGTCCTCGTTATCAGTGGTACCTCTTGTCGCAAAGAGAGGAATCCATGTAATATTACGTAGCTTAAGCAAACACATTTTTGAGCAACGCATATCAACCGGAAGTAGACTTTCTACATTCTTGGGCAGTGGTTTTGCCCAAATTTTCTAGCCTGCGTTACTGGCAGGATTGTTGTGCACGAAGCAAGAGCGAAGCCGCAAGGGAAAATCCGCCTGCCACATTTCTTATGGGTTTTGAATGCCGTCCACTTTTGTCACTTGGTTGAAACTATTTGATTTAATAAACAGTGTAATACGAAACTGGCAAAAAAAATTAAAACATACTAGAGAATCAAGTCATGGACAAAACAACTACATGTAGCAAGTTATTAAGGATCCAGGCAGAGTGCAGCTACTCAAAACTGAAGAAACTAAAACCTCTATTAAAACCTTTATTTAGAATCCTCCACCCGTTTTTCTGTGCCAGTTTTCAATGATCAAGCGCTCTTTTGATGTTAACCTCGGATGGATCGTGGAGTTTGCAATGCATGACAAAAGGTGACAGAAAAGATGGGCTTTTGTTATAGAGCCAATTTCCTGTCGTAAAACGAGATTAGCTTCACATTTAACGGGAAAAAGCCTCACTTCCGGTTGCTGTGCGTGGCTGAAAATCGCCTTGGCTTAAACTCCCTATTGGCTTTTTTAGGGCTGCCAACTGCTTAATTGTGTTTAGTTCAGTTGGTCTTGTTTTTGTTGTTCACCTTTAGGCTGGTAAACGAACTCGCTCTTAGGCAGCGTTCACACTTGGTTCCCGGGCACGATGCCCAAGTACGGTACTCACTGGGCACTAATGTGAACACACCCTTTTTTCTAGTGCCCACCCTAGAATTTGGGCACAGTGCCGGTGCCCGAGTACAAGGTCTCGACCTTGTACTCGGGCGCAAAAGTGGGCACCGGGTCCCTGTGTGCACACAATTTTTGTAAGTTCCGGGCAGTCCACTGCTTTGTTCTCGCTGCTAAGCTCATGTTTGAAAATGGCGTCTGACAGGGCGAAATGGGGTAACTATGTACACAGACACATATCGGGTACTCAAAGTGTGAACACAACACCATTTTGTGCCGGTACCCAGGCACTGGTTCCCGAGCACCAAGTGTGGACAGCCCCTTAGGCTACTTGGTTCCCGGGTCCACTGCCTGCGGGTACTGGTTGAAAATGGCATTGTGTTTACACTTTTGGTTCCTGATATACAACTGTGTACACATTTTTCCCTGTCAAAAGTTATTTTGAAACGTAAGTGAAGCAGAAAGGTATGGAAAAGCAGAGCAGTGGATTCCCTCGAAATGAACAGAAAACGTGTGCACATAGGGAGCCTGTGCCACTTAATTGCCCCAAGTACAAGGTCTCGTGCCAGGGCACTAAGTTTGAACACAGCCGTAGTAAATATGCACTGCAGCGGAGATTTCAACCCCCCTGGTCCCCCCAAAACACACCACTTTAGGTGCCTGCCCAGCTAACCCTTATGCCGCTTTAGACGTTCGCGCCTTACGTGAACTGGTATTATTTAGACAGTGGACTAGGCTGCAAAGCTGTGCGTGCAAATGCTGAGTACATTCTCTTTCTTTTAGACTAAATATTCTCTGAACTGGACTGTTTCCCTATCTTAATATACTTCAGGTACTGTTCTATGTTGCCAAGTGACAGATTCACACACCTCAGCCCAGTTTACAAGATAGAGGAAGTTGAGGAAGATGGAAAAAAACTATATAAGTGTGAACTGGAACTGCCAAATAACTGCCAGCTACGGAGAACTATATGTGTGAGTGCAAGTAAAATCACTGCTCTGACTTTAGCATAGTAAATTGAAGATAAACTTGTTACCTTTAATAATAAGCGGTATCGTAAGCTTTAGGCCTTCCAACCTCGTCAAAAAATATCAAAAGTGGCTTATTTGCTGAAGCATCTTCAATAAACGTATGTACTCGAAAAGCGTTCAATGATTCAGAACGATCGTAGTTCCATTTCGACAGTACACGGTCAATTCATCTTTTCCTGAGATCCATAAATTAATACACTTGACAACTTTTTTTTCTATTCCAACAGGGCAAGGCGATGCCAAGAAAAAGCCTCGCAAAAATGGCTGCTGCTCTCTACGCCTGCATAGAGCTTCACAAGATTGGCGAACTTGATGATAATCTCTTGCCAGTCCGCAACTTATCAGATGATGAAAGTGAATCGGAAGAAGAGGACGATGAGTCTCCTGGAAAGAAACGAAAGAAAGCAGGAACAAAGAAACGAAAGCGAGTTTATGAAAGAAAGGTAAGGATAATCCAGGGCAAACTTCTGCGCTAACACAAAACAACACGGTTGTGATGCAGACACTTTTTTTCGGTGCATAATATACGGGGCACGAGATAAGCGTTGCGCGTTTACTCGTCGCCCCCCTCGACGAGCACCACTCTTAATTTTTCCTGCACCTGCTACGAAATCCATGTAACGTGCCCTCAACATTTCTTAATAGGGCGGTAAGACAACCACGATTGCAAAGACAGCGAACACATCGTTTGTTAAGTGCATTCGCGTTCTTGAAAACGTTATCGCGATTAATCCAAGTCAATTTGTCAAATGCAGGCAAATTCTTCAGGAGTAAAATCCTTTGGAGTTTATTTAGGTCCAAGGAGAGAAATAAAATATTATCGTCGTTTGTCAGGTCCTATGTTAACACACTGGGAAATTTCACGTCGTATTCGTAGAGTGTCAGTAATGAAATGATGCTCGTACTGAGTTGTTGTTTTGCTTCTTGAACCTATTGCTTTTCTCCTAATCCTAATATCGTCGCCGCCGTGGTTGCTCAAACTCCATTTTGAAGCACCTATAGAAAGACATAGCACTTATCTGCAGGGCCTGGGGATTTAACTCTTGGTCTTATACGTTACTGGGCTGATCACTTAGAACGGACAGTCAGCATCAAAACTGGCCTGCGTGACACGTGTTTCGCTCGAGTTATGGCGCGAAAGTTGTCCCGAGAACAAAAAAGAAGAGGAAGGGGAGAAAAGGGAATTTTTAGGTTTGCTTCGCAAGCGTTTTCTCTTCTCCCCTTCCCCTCCCCCACCTTCCACTTTTTTCACCCTCTTTCCAACTTTCGGGCAGCAACAGTTCGAGCGGAAACACTTTCCATGCAGGCATGTGAGATGGAGGGGAAGAGCTAAACATTGAAGTACTGATGGAGGTTGGCATCTTTCTAAGGGCACATACGATGTCTTTCTCGTACGTTCATGTCAAGCGCCATGGCTCACTTCCATCATATTTGTACGTAATGTAGTTCTTTCTTTTCTTTTTGCTTAATTAGGTCCCTCAGGTCTTCAAAGGTAGCTTGCCACGGGAGAATCAGCCCCAGTATCTCACGGCCATCACTATAACCATCACCAAACTCACTAACCAACAGGGCCTAGACGTGAGCCAGCGATACTTTACAAATGGTGTCTGCCACCTGTTTGGTTTATTGACGAATGTTCCAATTCCAGCGGTTAGTTCTAGTTCAGTCAGATGTTAGCTTTGATAGTTGGCTGCTGACGCCTTTGTTCTCGGGTAAAACTTTAATCCTTTATCTCTCAAGAGAGTCTAAAAGCCTGAAAAATAGCGTCAAATTTCATTTTCGAAGATAAATAAATATTACAGCGTGAAAGAAATGTCATAAAAATGTTTCATTTTGATTTGAGTAGTTACAGCCTAATTCATCAGAAATTCACAGTGTGGAGCTGGCAATGAAATGGTGCAACTGAATTTAATATGACGTGTTACTTCAGATAAACATTACGATCATGATTATACAGGTTATACTAGAAGAACCTGATTGATTGATTGATTGATTGACTGATTGATTGCCGGACTGATTGTGGATTCAATTATAATTGATTAATTGACGTTATTTATTTTAATCCAAAGGTGAGATCATTGAAACTTTATCCCGACTTTGGAGAAGTGACAGTAACGATAAAATGTCACAAGTCACCATTGGGCGCAGGGATTGCAAGACAAGACTTGAAAACTATTGAAAAATTCCACTGTTTCTTGTTCAGCCAAGTTCTTTGCGAGCCCGTGAAATTTAGACCCAAAGGGTTCAATGGCAGTACAGACGGTTACTTTGTAGTTCTGACGAAAAGTAATGGATTTGACGTGGACTATGATTCTATGCGCCATGCTTTAACAAGGCAAACTTCACTGGAGCGATCAACCGGTGAATTTAACAGAATTGACGTTGACATGGTGGTCTCAAAAAATTACATGGATTCTGGACAAACATTTTCGGTTGTAAGAGTACGCCATGATCTGAGTCCTATGTCACCCTTCCCAGACAAATCCAAAGCCAAAACCTATGAAGGCTACTTCCGGGAGCATCATGGAAAGTCTTTTACAACCATGAAACAGCCTCTTATTGAAGTAAAAGGCATTTGTGGAAGGGTGAATTTCCTGGTGGACAGAAAGGTGGCAGTCAAGAATAAGCGCGACGTTATTGGTCTTTTCCCCGAACTATGCAACGTACTGCCTATTTCTGCTTCCCTTCTCAGTGTGTCTCTGATCCTGCCGTCAATTTTACATCGTGTGAACGCGCTACTGCTTGTTGGTGATGTCAAGGAAATGGTCGCTGGAGTGCGTGACAACACAGATGAATCTAGCCTCCCTTCAGTTGGTGCTGGTAATGCTAACGATGGAAAGAGTTTACTCCGCAATCACAAGGACAGCTTCTCATCGAAGACGGACGTGGGTCAGGAGGATTATAGTGATGACGATGTGGATGACTTTCCAGAGCTGTTTTCAGATTTAAAACCACTGTTCAGTGGAAACCGAAGGGCTGCTGTTCATCCCGACTCCGCTCTTGTACTTCAAGCTTTGACCACAACGCACAGTGCAGACGCCTTTAACCTAGAGAGGCTCGAGATACTTGGAGACGCTTTCCTAAAGCTGGCGGTTTCACTTCACCTCTATTGCACCTACCATGACAAAGATGAAGGGAAACTGACACAGCGCAAGAAAAGACAGATCAGCAATTTGGCGCTGTATCGAGCGGCTAAAAAGACTCTTTTAGCAGGGTATCAACAGAGCACGCAACTTGCACGTGATGTATGGTGTCCCACGGGATGTCAGCACGGTAGTGCTGAATCAGATGTTTTGACGTCTAGTTCAGAAGCTACAGAAATGGAAGGTGTTGATGACGGTAACGCTGAAGAGCAGGGCTTTGGAAGCAGGCGAGACAAGTGTAATACTCAGGTCATAAAAGACAAAGCTGTTGCTGACAGCATGGAAGCTCTCATTGGAGCGCATTTGATTTGCTGTGGTTACACCGGAGCACTTCGTTTCATGAAGTTCCTGGGTCTTGAGGTTCTTCCTAAGAATGATGGCATCGACGCGGACATTGGTGAGCTCGCTGAGAAGAGCAGAGAAAGGTCTGGGTGTTATGCCAGATTTTGGCCTGAGCAAGCAAACAAACCAGGAGCTCACCTAAGTCAAGATATGGTGGCACGGATGGTCTCTGGCTTGGAGAATTTTGAGCACTCCATTAAGTACACTTTCAATTCCAAATTGCGTCTGGTAGAAGCTTTGACACATACCTCGTATCACCCTAACCGCGTCAAGCTCTGTTATCAAAGATTGGAGTTCCTTGGAGACGCCTTGTTGGATTTCCTGGTAACACAACACCTTTACTTCCGCCATGAAAAATTGTCACCCGGTGACCTGACGGATATTCGCCAGGCTTTGGTAAATAACAATATCATTGCAACCATTGCTGTGAAATACGAGTATAACAAGTATTTGAAGGAGATGTCTCCGGATTGGTTTAGATCCATCGACAATTTTATTACTAGATTGGAAGACAAAGAAAAAGAGAATACTAACCCGGTAGGTGAATTTAAAGTCTTCGTCTACCTTTAATCGAGGTTGACATTCTCTTTGCTGCTTTTTGATTGTTATGTTTGTTAGCCGCCATTTTAAAAACCCATCAGAGAACACCGGGTACCAGCGTGAGGAGCTGTGTTTTATGTGGTCGTTTGGGTGATCAATATAAGCAACACCTACCAATCACAGCACATGTTGGCTGGCCAAACAATTGCAGACATCGTAGCAGGGAAAACAGGTTCTCAGGTTCCCAAACATTTCTAGACAGGAAAATGTTGTTCTTTCACATGTTACTGGCCCCAGTTTTGCTAGCCAGGAATGTCAGTTCAGTTAGAGCTTCAGTCAGCAAGCACTTGTTTCATTAACAGTGCAGGTGTAAGTAAAAGGGGAACACGGGTAGTGCAGTGGTGAGAGCACTCGCTTTCCACCAGTGTGGCCTGTCCCGGCCCGACATCATACGTAGGTTGAGTTGTTGGTTCTCGTTCTGGCTCCGAGAGGTGAGAGGTTTTTCTACGGGGGCTTCTGCTCTTCCCTCTCTTCAAAAACCAACACCATCAAATTGCACTTCGATCTGGAACACACGAACACTTTCGAAAGTGTTCTTCGCAGGTCCTAGGTCTTTCTTGGGTAAACATATTACATTTTTTACAAGTAACCTACAGCTCCACTTTATCTCCATTCTAAATGACTGAATAGGCCATTAGCACGTAGGCGGCATTAAGCTGCAGCTATCAGGATCCACCAGAGTTTTTTCTTGTTCAGGTTACTACTAGGTACACTAGGTATGGCAAATGAGGTGCAGGCGACAAAAAGTAGTGGAGTAGTTAAAAGAGATTGAAACATCTTTATCCGAGATTCCCTTCTTCATATTATTCTAGTTCCTGGTGAATCTTTAGTGTTCATTAACCAAAGCGAAAAAAGACGCTGGGATTTTCTTTGTATTTCACAGGGGATTGCAGATCCATTTATTATCGTATCTGAACAAGACGAAGAAGGGATCGAAGCTCCCAAGGTCCTGGGTGATATTTTTGAGTCCGTGGCTGGTGCAGTGTTTTTGGACAGCGGTATGGATTTGACCAAGGTCTGGGGAGTGTACTACCGCATGATGCAACCTTACATCGGTATGACATCATTTTTCAAAGTTAGATAATGTCCCCTACTGGTGACCCGACCCACCATTTGTACGTGCATGGTCACCCGAGCCCTAAAGGACTAGTCCCCGTAAAGTATTAGCAAAGACGGTACCTCCTTTCTCAATATATTAAAGACCTTGTATATAATCAGATGTTGATTTGACGATTGAACGCGCGACCTTCTCCCAAAAAATTGGGGGAGGGGGTACAGTTTGTGGATTGGCTCCGTTCAGGATGTTTAACTCTAATATGACGGCTATTTATTAGAGCGGTCGCGCTACCAAGCCACAATATGAAGGGCACCATTCTTTAGACAAAAGGTAAGTCTTTGTCGTTTTTGAAAATTTTCAGTGTGCGCGCATGTACGTTAATAACAGGGAGCTCCCTTTAAGGGTTGAAACGAATTTAAGCGGTGCCACAAATTTTCTGACGAGCGTCCGTCATTTTATAGTGGTTTCTCCCGGAAAGATCCCACTCTTGAGACCCGCGCTTTACCAACTAAGCTTACAGTGCTGTGGTTTGAAAACTCATTTCTCAAAGTTTCCGTCTCATATTGAATAAAAACTGTTACTGTTAACTTGACCATTTTGATACTTTTGCATGTTACCATGGTCAAACTCATTCAACAGGCTGCAACATGAACTATTACCATTCGCACTATATTAAAGAAATAAGTATTTGTTCTTTGTCAGACCAATATTCCGAAAACATACCGATCAATCCCATCAGGCGCGTGTACGAAGAGGACAACAAACGGAAATTTAGGTACGTGAGTGATAAAATATACATATTCCTGTGCAGGATATACGAGGTCCTGAAAAAAGGACTTGTTGCTCTCAACTCATACTGTTCGTTTTATAGGTTTTTACTGCTTTCTCTCTTTTGCATGATTTTTTCAAAAGTACATTCAAAAGTGCATTTCTGAGTTTGAGGATGACCTACTCCAAAATGTCAAAGCATGAACCACTGTCACCCAAAGTTACGAAAACATATTTATACGGACGGAAGGTTATACGTGTGTTCAATCATTAGTCACCAAAAATAATTAACCAGCTGTGTTGAGAAGAAAAGATACTGTAATACTAGAAACAAAGAGAGAGAATCACTTTCACTGAGATATTGATTCCAGATTAGTTTCATCGGCAGCAGACAAAAACAGGTACTTACATAGAGGCAATACACTGAAAGTTGCTTACAAGTTGACTCCAACGAAACTAGTTTTCTAGGGCTGCGACCCCAGACAATCTTTAAAGGACTGCCCTTATCACACGGATGGTCGCAGAAGACAAACTACAAACTGTGTAGCTTGTAACAAAAACAATCGTTTAAGGGATGCTGTTTCCTTAATCATTTATCAAGTGAGTTGACAGGGAAAATTGGCCATTGTAATTCTAGAAACAAAGCGATGGAGAATCACCCACACTTAGCCAACATCGACTCAAGACTGGGTACATCATCAGCAACATTTTCAACGACTGCTGACTTCAGAGATAGGCGAACTCATTTATATAATTTCTGTTTATATCTTTAGCAAAGCCGAAGTTCTTGCCGATGGAAGAGTCAGGTGTACTTTGAAAGTTCGCTGGGGTAAGTTCGATGGTTATGGCAAAAACTTCAAAATTGCCAAGGCAACCGCTGCCAAGCTGGCAGTGCAGGCGCTTGACAAGAACAAGTCAAGGAAGTAGTTAATCAAGGAAATAAATATCACCATGGTAACGTTTGCAGACAGAAACCGTTCAGGACAAGAATTTAAAAGTTTACAGCTCAGCCTCAAAGGAAGGCTTGCTGGCTTTTATTAACTTTAATAAGCTAGACTAGAAGTTTATCCGGATTTTAAGTTTAAAATTTTGCTGATAGTTTAAATTTACTGGATAGATGAATCAACACAAGTTTATAATATATATTTTTTCGCTGTATAATTAGATTTCCGTCTCGATATATATATTATAAGACCCTTTTTGTCTTACCATAAAAGACTTCTAACACGTTTTATCAGTTTGATACAATATTTGCTTATCCTCCCATAAACTGCGAATAGTCAAAAGCTTAAAGGCAACGGAAGCCCTCCGAAGGATATCTAAAAAAGATGCGTTTATCTAATTGTACAGCTGCATTCGCTGAAAAACTGACCAAAGTATCAAAATTGTTAAATAGCGTTGAATTCCCTTTACAGTAATTACGTCCAAAATGTCCAAAAATGCACAATATTTTACCCCACTGCTCAGGAAACTTGAAATCATAATTTGTCTAATGTAGCGATGATGACACAATTAGCAATGCTGTCAGGGGGTTGATTTTCAAGGTGAATCCAAAACTTGAAAATGTTCATTGTTATTTGTAAATTGAGAGATACCATTTGATACCAGAGTGAATATGTACAATGCACTGGTAATGTTATATTTTAATTACTGAAGTGCTGTATGGGGCGATATCAATATAAAGAAATTAGCAGACAAACTTCAAAAGATGCAGAATAGGGCTGCTCGAATTCTCACCTTTTCCAGCTATGATGTTCGCTCATTGGTTCGGAAAGGTTGGAAAATGTAATACTTAAATAGTTGGTTGTGATAATGTATAAAATCCATAATGATCTTTCCCCATCGTATCTGAGGCGAGTCTTTACCAGCACCTCAAATATACACACACAATCTTCGAAATTCCGAGTTAAATTATTATGTTTCCAGACCCAGAACTGAGTCTGCAAAAGGGAGCCTACACTACAGAGGATCTCTTCTGTGGAACAGGATTCCCTCAGAGATAAGAAAACTGCGTATCTTAAATGTTTTTAAAACTTCATTTCATGGGAAAAATTATTTTACTAGTAATAATCCAGTTTTTTTGTATTTTTTGCCTTTATAGTCAAGTAGTTCCTTAGAGTATTTTAGTTTAATTTTACACACGATTCCTAGGAAGACCATGTAGAAGTGATACGATTTCATGTATAAATAAAGATTGATGATGCTGGTGATGATGAATTTCGGTTCTAACTTTATCCAACTAAAATTGCCATTCATGAAGTGCACAACGGCGTAATATCGGAGAAAATGTCGGAAAAAGAAGTTGTAACTGAGTCCTATTTGTTGTAATAGGAATTTTTATAACCGACAATGGCAACGACAAGGACAACGCCCGAGTGAGACTGGGTTGATAACGCGGTTGCGTCTTGAAATTTCTGACAAGAAGAACGTAGTAGAACCTCTTAATTCCTATTTCTTTTCGGGTATAGAGTAAGGCCAACCGGAAATAAGCTGCATCGCGCTCAAGTAACGGAAGCCCATGCGCGTAGGTAGAAAAAAAAAACTTTCAAACCAAACCTTTCATATTCACGATACCCGCCACCTTTGCATGCGCCGAAGGAGTCGTGAGGACTTATGGGATAAAAGCAATGTCGCGTGGTTTCTCAGAGGAACCAACACATGAAAAAGGGCGTTTTCCATTTGCCACGAACTTTCGGAAACTTCCATAAAAGATCCATCGAAGAAAAACTTGTTCCATTTGAAACAAGTTCCATTCGTTTAAACTCTAGTCACCAGCATTTAAGATGGTGGCACAGATACCTCCGTGAATGGCCTGAAACTGGTGATTCCTTGTGAAAGCTCGTAAAAGGAACATGCACTTCCACCGGAAAGTTTCCAACGGGGAAATAAGGACTACCTTTTCAAAATTCCACTTCTTCCCAGAATTTTTTCAGTGGAACGTACGGGAAAACGTGTTTGCCATTAACATCCCAACCGGAATTTCAGAAATTTCTTGGTAAATGGAAAGCGCCCTAAATCTGTTAATACAAGAAATCGTGTTCGAGTTTGTTTGTTTTGAAGATGAACAACTTTTCAACTTAAACAGGATAATAGCAAATTATGGGCGGAAGCCATCGTTTTAACTTTTTTGAATACAGTGGCCACCGAAGATATCCTCACAGCAAGTGATAATGACGTGAAACCTGTCAAAACTCAAACTGTCGTATCGTTTGATAGAATAGGTCTTAGATAAACTCGAGAACGATTACGCGTATTGGCAAATTTTAACACTTGTTTGACCCTCTAAAAGACCACGTGACATTGCTTTTATCCCATCAAAGCGGGTGCAAAGCTGGCAGATATCGTGAATTCGCCACTTGCACATCTCCCATAATGCCGGCCTTATGTGCCGCCCAAAATTTTGCTTAAGCGTTGTTTTCAGTTTCTCTCGGGACGGCTGTAATACCCAGGAGAAATGAAAAACAAAGGTTATGCAAAATTTTGGGGGGCAAATAAGGTGCATTATGGGAGATGTGCAAGTGGCGAATACGGGATCAAACCAAAACAAAGCAAAACATTCGTGGCAAAAAAAATGCCCGATACATTAGAATTCTTTGTCGGATAGTCATGCAATTCTGACCAGAACTTACAGACACTGAATAAATCAAAATATACCAAACTGGGAAATATTAGACTGCATGGGCAGTAGCCCACGCTAGATATATTAAAATTCTAACGTGACTCCGAGGCCTTCTGGTCATTTTTATGCTTTGTCTCTACTGGGAATTGCGAGACGATGGAGTCGTGAAAAATTTGTAGTTTTCACCCTTGAAGGTGATGTTACACGAGACGATGCGCAACGACGATTTTTAGCCTCAACAAAGCGTTGAAACGTTGTTGCGACATTGTTTCGAATAGTTACAACATTGTTCCAACATTGCCTCGCTGTGTTGCAATAAAAGTCACCGTTACGAATCGTCCCCCCTAAAATCACCTTAAAGGTGATGTTGCACAAGACGATTTGCAACGACGATTGTTCAGCGCAACACAGCGTTTCCATGTTGGAACAATGTTGCAGCCATTCGAAACAATGTCGAAACAATGCTGTAATGCTGTGTTGCGCTAAAAATCGTTGTTGCGAATCGTCCCGTGTAACATCACCTTAAACTCTACGGTGGATTCATTTGCAACATACGCGTATAGCTGTCGCATTTGTCTGCTGCAATTTTTCATTGTTTTTAAGCCTAAAAACAATAGAAAATTTCTAGTGTGCAAGTGCGACAGCTATACGCGTAGGTTGCGAATGAATCCACCCTTAATTTCTCAAACGGTGGCTATGTTGTCGTTGACGTCAGAACACATATGCAAATTTAATAAGTTTGATTTTCTCTTTTAAAAAGAATGATCATGGGCTTTAGGAAACATGGTTTTCGACTAAATAAAGGTTTTTTGAATTACTTACATTGAAGTACTCTAGATCTTTCGTCGTTTCTGGTCAATTCTGCCAGTATAATTCTTGTAGAAAAGCCTGGAAAACACGCTTTGTTTTGATTCAGAAGTCGATAGGCATTCGCCCATGGAATATTTGTTTACAACTAGGGTATCTAAAAGATAGTAATGCTGCGGCACATTCTGTTGATACTGGCATTAGTTAGGCAGTGAGACTCAATAGAATCAAAAATGACATTGAATGTCCTATTTACATGTTGGAAAGTACTAGAATAATTACTATCAGTCTATAGAAAGAACTCGTGGGAACGTTGTTTAGAAAATGATCAAGTGGTTATCAACTCTGGTTTTCCCACAGTAAATTGTAGGAAATAATAGAAATTCAGATTGTTTATCCATATATTTAATATACGGTGCACGATATTTTCTCTGGAAACACAATACTTTTCTTGCTGTTTGTTGCACTTTATTAAGTAACAGTTATTTAGCTATATATTTATAGAAAACAACAACGCAAAAAAACTGAAAAAAAAGAAAGTAGGAATAAATAAGTCGGTAGGACCCGAACCCGGCATCTTCGATTCCACGCGACTACACCTTACCACTACACCACAGAAGCTGATTACGTAATCTTCAGGAAAAGTCTTTCATTTTATTCCTTTTCCATCAAACTTCCGCCGGCAAGATGATCGCCAGCCGCATTAACCGAGCTATTAACAGTGAAAAAACATTGTAAACGCATATTCCAAGGCAATGAATGAATGAAAGAACATAATTATGCCTTCAAAACGCCGATACACGTCCTCGTCTGCAAAGTAGGACACAAAACATATGTTTTGTTATCTCGATTTCCACTGTTATTTTGAAGCGAATGGTCCAAATCACATCCATTTTCGGCTCATACAGTTTCTTAAGAATAGCATTGCATGACATTTTCTCACTTTCACATCACCTTCTAGCAAGCTGGAATTTGTATATCCCCCGTGCTGCGGAGTCGAAGAGCAAATGCTCATCTTCTCGTCAGGTTTAACACCTGGACGAGTCAAAGGCTCTTGAATTGAAATCCAATCCTCAAGTTAACCATCGTACTCATCTGAAAGACTCCTGCGTGTCTTAAAATTTGGTAAGACCTCTAACCGTGCTGTAGAAAATTTGTCACAAAGAAAACTCTAAGTCTGAGCAGCGAACGATGCACTCTCTCACCCACCGAACTTCCTCGTGTTTTTATTTGAGTTGTTCGTGGCGCAATGCACTCTGGTTAAATGCAATGCATTGTGGTAAAAAGTGTGGTTAAATGCAATGCATTGTGGTAAAAAGTGATGAATTCGAGAATTCGTCGCCCCTTATATATTTCCTTTAAATCCTGATTATGTTGCTGCTCGCTCCCTTCGGTCGCTCCGCAGCAAAAAGAATGCTTTATTTATAAATCATATTGTATGACCCACTCATGCATTTATTTCTCTGAAATACCTCCCAGATGCTTTTGAAATTCCCGGAAAAGTACTCAGGCTCTAAGGATTTTCGATCTGTCTTCCACTAAACAAAACGTATTTTCTTGTGTGTGGAAACTGAAGACCGTAATCGTCACAGCCAATCCTTTGTAATTGTAACTCTACTGAGTTTAGCTGATTGCTGTACTTCCATGTTTGCAGTCGAATCAAAGTTCCAAGCGATTTGTCAAAGCTCAATCTACAGAATTTTTGTTTACTTTTGTAAGTTAATGTGATCATGGAAAGCGAGGACAGCGCTGAAAATTTCTCAACCTCCGAAATCGAAACTCAACCGGAAGATAGAGACGTCGAGGCCGGATTCACCACTCGCCCTTACCAAGTGGAATGACTACAAAGAGCTCTGGAAAGAAACACAATCGTTTGCCTCGGAACCAGTACTGGGAAAACATTCATCAGTGTAATGCTGATAAAGGAACTCTCACACCAGATCAGAGAAACCTACAAAAATGGTGGAAAAAGAACTTTCTTCCTTGTCAATACAGGTAAGAAAGTCCCTAGAAATACGCACAGAGAACATTTGTCGTCGTTTCCGTTTTAGTAAGCTGGGGGTAGAGAAGGGGACTTGTGGGGGTTGAGTGATAGTGAACTTTTCATCCACACTACAGGTGCCAACAACCCACGTAATTCTAACAGGGCTCTGTGGCTTTACAGACAAAATTGTAATATTTCAAGATTGTCTCGTTATTCCCAAAAGAGACGTCAGCCCAAAGAAAACGAAACCAAATATAGAAATATGACCAAGAAAGCCCTGGAGTTATGTAGAATTTTGATATATCGAATGTGGGCTACAGGTCTCATTCAAAAATACCATAAAATTTATTATTTATTCAAAATATTGCGCCGTTTCTCATTGGTTTCAATTCACCGGCTAATTCTTCATAACCAACGGGCGCTTACCATATTTGGAAGATGCGAGAAATATACCATCGATTCGAGGCTGCATGGGTAATAGACCATCGCCAAGCTTTTTTTTTATCAAGTGAACTAAAACAAATGGTGTTCACGGCTATCCGAAGACGAAATAGCTTATTTCTAACTAAATCTGAACGGAAGAAATACAAGAATACGCTAAACATATCGCTTAAGAAGTATCTGCAAGGAAAAACATCTGTTTTTGAAACCGTGCCGAGAAATAGGCCAAAGGTTTGTAGAAAGTCTACGAGGAGGTAATCATGAATTCGGCTTTCGTAGGATGTGAAGAATTGTACAGATCTCGGAGGATGTTGTCCATCTCGGCCTTCAGCTTCGGTGGATAATATCCTCCGAGATCTGCATAATTCTTCTCATCCTACTCAGCCTCATGCAATAATTGCTAAATGTTTTTCTTCCACAATTTTGCATAAGCAGTGTTTTCAATTCTCTGGGGTCTTGCAATCGTCACAAGAGAAGTCAGCAAGCAAGCTTATGCATAATTTTCGTGGAAAAACCAGACTTGCATTGCAAGTCTTGCAAACCCCCCCAAAAGGCAAAAAATGTGAGATTCTGAACCTAGAGCTGGGAAAAGTAGTGAAAAATGCAGGGTAAAAGTCGTGAGATGCCCCAAATGTCCTAGTAAAAGGACTTTCAGTGGAGATTATAGGTATTGGAAGTCACTATATCTCTTTAAAGCTGAAGCGGTAAACATCATGATTAATTTTACGAATTTTTTCTGGTGCCATCTTGAAACAAGAGAAACAGGAAGTCTGCACATTTGGTGGCAGCGGCAAGTCGCAGTAGGCTAAAAGAATGTAATCAAACGCGACTGCTAAACGTCTTCTTTGGGTTGAGCTGGCTTTCTAGCAATATCTCACTTGGAAACGAACCCAACAACGCCAAAAAGTGGAGTTTGACTTTTCGAGAAAGCGTTAGAAATACTTTGCCAACTCGTGAGAGCGTGAGACAGGTCCTAAAATCGTGAGACTCACGACAAAGTCTGAAAAACAAAGAGTTTATGAGTATTATTAAATAACGCCTTTTCTACGTTTCCAACCAAGTGACAAGGCGGCCATGTTAATTGAAACAAGATAACTTTTTTCGAATATTTTTTTGTAGAATCTTCATGAAGAAAAGATTTGTTTTCAGCGCGGGGGAACGCTTTTGTTCTTGTCCACCAACACGGCCGCCGTGGGGTCAGCTGCAAAGCAGTAATTCGTCAACCAGACTCTCTTTTTTTATTTATTTTCTGAAATCTTTGGACCGTTATTCGGATTCAGTTTTGTTTTTTTCGCACAATTTGCTCCAAACATTAAAAACACGCTGGCTTACCTAGTAGCTATTGTAGGTTATTTTCTAAGCTTGCAATGTTCTATTTCGAATATGACCAGGAATTGTCATAGGATAAACAATCAAAATTGATGAAAGTCCAAAACCTGCACTCATATACATTCATTTCACATACTTTTATGTGATCCTCTTTTAATAAGGCTGTTGTAACCTCACATTTCTAATACTTTTCAAAGTTCCTTTAGCCATTCAGCAAGAAGAGGTGATTCACAACCACACAGATTTGAAGGTGAAGAATTACGTTGGTGAAATGGGAGTCGACTCCTGGGACAAAAACGAATAAGAAAAAGAGTTCAATGAAAACAGTGTTTTGGTCATGACTGCGCAGATTTTTCTAAGCCTTCTTCTCCGTGGTTTCATCAAACTTTCGCAAGTAAATCTTCTGTTATTTGATGAATGCCATCATGCCAAGTCTGCCAAGAAGAGTCATCCGTACAAGCAGATCCTGGAGTTCTTTGGTGACTACGAAAAAACCGAACATCCAAAGATTATGGGTCTAACAGCATCCGTAATAAATAAAAAGCTAAAGCAATCGAACATTGAATCAGAAATACGAGAGCTGGAATGCACATTGAGGTCAACGTGTGAGACAAGCCAAGATGAAGAGGTTGAGAAGTTTTCTGCAAAACCAAACGAAAAGGTCATAAAATTTTCAAATGCCTCCTCCATTGAAGACAGAACAAACGAATTGCTTCGGATACTTCAAGATATTCTAAATCCAGGCAGCGAGTTTCTTTGTGAATTTCTTATTAGTAAGGAGGATCACGACAGTTCATTACAGAAAGCTCTCAAGTTTGCAAAGCGTACACTGCGAGAATACCAAGAGACTCTGAAAGAATTAGGTCCCTGGGCTGCCAACAAAGTTGCAGGATGCTTAATCAAGGATCTAGCAGGTATATGGTCTTCAGTGTGTAACTAGGTTTGATATGTTCTGAATAAATAAGGAAAATTTAAAAACACATATGGGACCATAAAACGTTCCCAGGTTGACTTTCCTAACAACTGTAAGTAGTCACACACAGCTCAACCCATCTTGAAGCCTCATCTCAAAATCAATGCCGCAATCTCACAAAATAGAGCTCATTTGGGTGATGCAGGCTTAAAAGTTTTCTTTTTCTTTAAGTTAGGTAAAAAGATTTACTGCGATCCGTTAAAATAATATTCATTTTGTCACACTAGTCTTCAAGAGATGGTTGAATGGTCATTGCAAACTTAGATACCTAAATTTTTCAGGGAAAAAGAGATCTTTAAAACCATACTCAACAATTGCATTTTTTTTGCCAGACAACCCAATGAACATTTTTTTCCACTAACCAGTTGTACTCTCTTGAAATAAAGCGTGGTTAGTTCCCAGAGAAAAGAAAATAGTGGGGGAAACCAAAATAAAGGAGCATATGCATCTCAAAATTTTGCCTTTTAGCTGCACTTATCCGAACTTTGAAAGCTATAATTTAGCTTCAGAAACAAAAGCGAGCATTGAGTGCTCGACTTGTGAATAACAATTGGGTGGTTTTACTTCATTAAGGCCAGAAAATGTCCAGAACACGTCTTGACCAGCTTATTTCGAACAGAATTCTTTGGCAAAAAGTCAGGGGCAGATTTACATTGACAGTAAGATTGGACCCTGAGCTCTGTTGCATTAACCGTACAACGCCAACGTGGTTAGAGTGTTCAAAAACTAAATCAATAAATGTGACGATTTATTTCGATGGAAATGATGTCTGTTTATCTGTTTTACGTTTGCCACTGCTCACATGCATGAACCACTTTAGCATGGCTGATTTTTGTCACAAATATTTTTTCCAAAGCTAGGAAAGGTAAGTCCTAAGCTAGGTACGACTCTTTAGTAATTAACCGCACTGAATCACAACAACAACAAAAATGAGGGTAAAGTTAGTCAAACGTCAAAATATACGGTCTGACTCCAAACCTTTCATAGACAGAGCGCACATATTTGATGCCAGCAAGGAAGGACGAATGTTTTGTGAGTTTAGTGCAACTCAGCTGCGACTACTGCAAAGTGTGTATCACAATTACACATCTACTGGCAGTGAAGATACTGGTAACACTGAAGAGTTCTACATCATGCCTAAACTACAGAGGCTGTTGTCTCTTTTAAGCGAGTATAGGAATTCACAAAACAGTGGTAAGAGTTTGAAAGGTAATCGCATACTTGCAACATGCATCTAAAGCATCCCTAATATATTTGTCATCTTAAAATATACGGTTCCGCCCTTTTGAAAGAAACAAAATCTCGTTGATATCTGACACGTAACTCTCATTTGAGGCAAAGGAAATCCTGAAAAATTAAAAATTAAAAATTACCTACCCTAACCCTTAACCCTGCCCTCACCATTAAAAGGCAAGCTCATGTTGTACCCCATCCACCATCTTGAGGCCTTCTTCAAAACACGGTTTTATTTGATATCATTTGGTAGGATTTGCCCACAATTTCTGCTTACGTTTCGCCGCCAAGAGTAGATCTCCAATCTATTTACCATGGGTTTGAAGAAGCCTGCTTCCAAGTAAAAAGAACAGAGCTCTTCAACAACGCTGACGCTAAATAACTGGCGTAACAACATTGATATCAATATTAAATGAATATTAATTATGTTATTAATTTTTTTACAGAGGACGAGTTCTGTGGCATAGTGTTTGTAGAGAAGCGATACACAGCTCTGGTACTTAGTGAGCTGATCAACGGTGCTGCAAACTTACATCCTGAGCTCTCCTTCATCAAATGCAACTTTGTGGTTGGACATGGCACCGTTGGAAAGGCTTATCACTCCAATGAAATAGAAATGGATTGCAAGAAGCAAAAGAAGGTTCTGAGGCAGTTTAGGCGACATAAATTCAACCTTCTGATTGTCACTTGTGTAGTCGAGGAAGGAATAGACATTCCAAAGTGTAACGTGGTTTGTCGGTTTGATTTCCCAAAGACCTTCCGCTCTTATGTCCAGTCAAAGGGTCGTGCTCGAGCAAAGGATTCCAGCTATTATATCTTTGTAGATGAAGAGGAGTATGAGAAAAAAACAGACGAATTACAGGTAGATAATCAGTTTTTTTTCAAAGGCAACATGAATGTGACTATTCTGATGATTCTGAGTGTTCTTACGATGTAAAAATACGTCGCGCATACAACAGTTTTTTTGTTTCCTTTAGCCTGCGTGGAAGGCCCATATAGGGAAAGGGATAGGGAAAGGGGCAGTTAAGGTGTTCGAGAACATCGTGTTCTCGTGCGCCTTAATTCCCGTCCATAATTCCAAGCAAAATAAGTGGTAACAAGTCAATGTTTTAGAATAACAAAAATAAAAAAGTATATCGCCTTTTCTGAGATTGATAATCAGCTAAAGGTAACAGGGTATTGCTCTAAATCTGTCAGGCATGGACTGAAATTGAGGAGTCCCTATCGAAGATGTGTCATGGCCGTGCTGAACCTACTAAGGAGGAGAGTGACGAGGTAGCGGACGCAGACACTTTCTTATCTCCTTACATCCCTGGTCAAGGAGCAAGAGTCACTATGAGCAGCAGTGTTTCCCTCCTATCCAGGTAACAATAGCTTTCTCTGCTCAGTCTCAGGCGCAGAAACGTTCCAGCATTCTCTTATGTCAGCAGCACCATTTCCGAAACTTCTGCGATTTCGGTAAACATTCGATAAACACGCTTAGGAACAGAGGTGCTGGGGAAAAAAATTATTTTTCAGGAAGCCAACCTTTGTGTCAATGCCTCTTAGCGCATTTTTCTCGTCTCATTACGTTGAACTACATTGTTTCAATCTTTGTGTCCATCTCTGTTATTCAGGTACTGTTCAAAGCTGCCAGGTGACAGATTCACATGTCTCAACCCAGTTTATAAGATCGAAGACATTGGAAAAAATATTTATAGATGTAGATTGGAACTACCAATTAACTGCCAACTGCGTGAAACTATATATGTAAGTGTAAATTAAACCATTACTCTGACTCTAATTTAAGTTTATTGAGTGTATAATCAAAGCTACCTAGAGAGATGTCATCGGACTAGTTCCAAAATAGTCTCTTTTGTGGTACACCTGTTTCACACTACTAATTACTTCGGCAAAGCGCCAAGTAAAGGACTCGCGACGCTCAAGAATGTCCTAAAGTTGCTTTTCTTGGGCAAGCAAATTCAGTGAGTTTTCGGTTTGAGTTAGTTATTTGACGAAGTGAGAGCGGAATTTGTTCAAGATATCTCGAGATCACTTTGAATTCTTAATTTACTTGAGAAGAAATAATTAACCACTTAAGTGTGAAGAAATAGTTATCATTTTTGGCTCGCCCGGGGTTTTAAACCGACTCACCCGCGACGCGTCAGATCTAAGTTGAGGGATTAGCCAATTACGCGACTGCGACCCAAGGTAGTGTGTAATGTGAAAAATAGCTATTAAATCATGCACTAGTTACTTGGGCGGAATGCCAAGTAAAGGATTCGCGACGCTCAGAAATGTCCCAAAGTTGCTCACCAAGAGAGATCAGAATTACTTCGAGATGCCTCGAGATCAGTTCGAGTTCTTTCGGCTCTAATAGATTTTTTAATATATTCTAGGAATAAATAACTTTTTTATCTTGGCTTTTTTATACCCGGGATTTGAACCGACTCACCCACGATCTGTCAGATCAGATCTGAGTTGACGGATTAGCCGATTGCGCCACCGCGACCTGATGTAGTTTGTCATGGGAAATTAGCTACAGATCGTGCTCTGGTGGGTTTCTTGCGGGAAATGGAAGAAAAGGAACAAAAATAATCGCTTGGTTCAATTGAAAATGATTGAAACAGTAAAATGGTTTAAAATGGAGCAAGTGGTGAAAATTACTTTGTTTGCCGCTATCTTGACTTCTGGTTTTGTTAATTTAAACGCTGGTCACAACGGCTACAGGCGTTGGTTCGCTTGCTTCGCCGCAAAAAAGTCAAAGATCGATTATTCGTGGTCTTCTGAAAGTATCAAGGAAAGTTTTTGTTGTTGTTTGCATCGTATACATGCAGCGTGGATCGAATTTTCCGTCGCGTCGTTCCGAAGGCCAAAAATGAAGTGGGTAACCATCCAAGTCATAACGGAATTGTAACCGCTGACCTCCACGTAGCCAAAACTTAGGATATGGTGGTTTCGAATTCCCTTGTAGTTTGACGTGATGCGTTTGGATATATTGGGCAATCTTTTGAGTTTTCTATCTTTTTCCTCATTTTACTAGGCACAGCTTTCATTAAATTTGGAGATATTTTGTTTTTGAAGAATCTTGGAAGGCGTTGAGTTGTTTCTGAAAAGTTATGATTGGGCAGATGATCGTTAGAATAACAAGGTGTTTGTATGATGCCTGGAGCAGCCATCAGTCCTTGAGAACGTCTACCGTTTGCATTACAGCTTTTTCAAAGGAAAAGGCCAGAACATATTACATGTTTCCTTCTCATTGATGTTATCACTTATTTTAATGTTGTGTTGTCGCTGTTTTCAAACTGTTTTATGATGAATTTAAAACTACAAAATGCTGCCTAAAGACGTTGTCGTTGTTGAGTTTACCTATTTTTACCCCAACATCAAGCATTGTAACAACATTATACGAAATTATGGCGAACCATATTCAACATTTTAAAACAGCACAGGGATACTTTTCAGTTTGATAGAAGTATGTTTTTTTTTTTACCTAGAAACGGAGCGATTTCTTCCGATAATTAGAGATAAATCTCGCAAAAGTGCTTAGAATTGCCGGGTTTGGCTACAGACGAAAGTTTGAGCAAATTCGTCCGCTCTTGCTCAGATGTCGAGAGCCAAGATGTCAGCATTTGAAAAATGATTTTGGGGCTATGGGTACGCTTGGAATTGACTGGGCCATTATGATGACGCTACAACCATCCCTCACAATAATGGAAACCGTAAGAGCCTGCGAGCAAGCTCTCTATTTAAGGGATATCGAGAAAAGTAACGCGCGAGTTGCACGCGGAAGAAGATGTGGGAACTATTCGGTTAGCCACTGCAATTTACGTTAGGAATTCCGAGGAAAAATTCGAGCTATTTACATACTAAGCAACGTCCACTATGGCTCCAGGTCTCCTTTTTCACCTATTTCAACCAACCGTTAACAACTAACAACATTGCGGCAGTCACACGTGCCTGACACAAAAAATCCTCACAAATGCTTGATACCGCGACGCCCAAATGTACGCTCCGATAGCGTCTTGTTTTTTTATTGCATTTGAAAACAGACGTTAACGTTGACCAGATCGATTTCAAATGCAACATTTTTGGTGCAAATATGCCGCAAGTTTTTTTTAATCATCGCTACAAAGAGATCGCGGTAACCTAAATAAAGCTGGACAATTTATTTTCTAACAGAGCGTTCCGATGCCACGAAAAAACCTGGCTAAAATGGCCGCCGCTCTCGAAGCCTGCAAAAAACTTCACGAGATTGGTGAGCTTGATGATAATCTGTTACCAGTACGCAGTTTATCAGACGAGGAAAGTGAATTGGAAGACGAAGACGAAGGGGTTAGTGGAAAGAAGAGAAAGAAAGGAGGACCAAAGAAACAAAAGCGAGTTTATGAAAGAAAGGTAAAGGCAAAGATCCAGTTTTTAACATGTACTGACAAAGACCAGCACCATGGCCGGGCTGGTCAGTCATGTGGTCCAAAAACACTTTGTTGGATAGCAAGAATTGCACTCTCAAGTCACTCGAACAAAACAAACAAACAATACTACCATTGTGTCGAGTGTTGAAGTACGTTCTTTGCTCGTATTGTCTTATGTGCATTTCTAGTTTTCCGGCGAGGCGTTTTTGTGCAATCTAAATGACTAGCTGCGAAGGACCTATTAGTTGTGATGCAATCAATCTAGCCCAAGGCGCATGACAAATATGGCGAATGAGATAAGCGATGCGTGTTTAACACAGTCTCCTCCCTAGCGATCACTGCTCTTGTTCCAGTTACAATGGTTAAGAGTAAGGATTGAGTAGAGAAGAAGAATAAAAAGATTAACTTTAAGATTGGTACCAAGATGTAAATCAGATACCTGGTACCTCATCGTGTAGCGACCGAGTTGCTCGAACACACCCCTACACTTACATACAATGTCATTCTCATAAGTACATGTGGAGTGCCACGACATGACTTAGGTCTTTGATATGTGTACTATACAACTCTTTTATTCATTTTCACTTAACTAGGTCCCTCAGGTATTCAGAGGTAGCTTGCCACAGGAGAATCAGTCCCAGTACCTCACGGCTATCACTATGACTATCACCAAACTCACCAGCCGACNTGTACTATACAACTCTTTTATTCATTTTCACTTAACTAGGTCCCTCAGGTATTCAGAGGTAGCTTGCCACAGGAGAATCAGTCCCAGTACCTCACGGCTATCACTATGACTATCACCAAACTCACCAGCCGACAGGGTCTTGATTTGAACCAGCGATACTTTAAAGATGGTGTCTGTAACCTGTTTGGTTTATTGACGAATGTTCCAATTCCAGAGGCGAGTTATAGTTCATGATCAGTCACTCTGTAGCTCCGGAATATAATTTTTCCTCGAGATATTAATTATTTGATTTTCGTTTGGTAACACGTTCATTCTTCATGGTGTGATGAGGTTTGTTAAGAGTTTTGCGCATACTATTCATCCTCGAGAGTGTCAGAAAAGTCTGAAAAAAATTTCATTTTTGAAAATAAAGGTTAATAAATAGCATTGCGGGGAAAATGTTTCATTTGAATGGTCACAGTCTAGGCTTCCTCCTACAGAAGTAGGAATAACAACTCAACTAAATTCAACACCTTCACAGTTTAAACCTGTGAATAAAATAGAGAACCGAAGTTATTACCATGTCCTTCTTTAGACAAATACTGACCCTGAATCTGATAGGTGAAAAAAACTCGATTTTGGTTGATCATTGATTGATTAATTGATCGATGAGCCCTTTGCAGCTGGTCATTCACGTGGAACAAAAAACGCCTTGCTGGAGGGCAAGAAATCCACTGAGAAAAGACAAGTAAAGAGCTTCCATAAGTAGGTAAAATATGATCGTCTGGGAGAGTGTAATCCTGAAATGGAATGTTGTTTAAAGTAGTTGGCAGGTGCAAGTCATCATAAAACTCAACGTGAGTTGTTTACTGTCCGTTGATGGTATTAAAATCTGGTCATTGGCCTAATAGACTTTTTTACTATTTGAAATTAAAATTTCAAATAGTAAATCTCTTTCTCTGCTTTGTGCCAGTCGTTTCTTGCTCTCCAGGAAGAAACTGCGTGACTGACCAGCTCATTAACGATTGATTAAATCTACAGCTAAGATCATTCAACCTTTATCCCGACTACGGGGAGGTCAGAATAACATTGAAATGTCACAAGTCACCACTGAACGCAAGGATTGCAAGACAAGACTTGAAAACTGTTCAAAAATTCCACTGTTGCTTGTTCAGCCAAGTTCTTTGCGAGCCCGTGGAACTCCGACCCAAAGGGTCCGACGGCAGTACAGATGGTTACTTTGTAGTTCTGATGAAAAGCAATGGATGTGACGTGGACTATGATTCTATGTGCCATGCTTTAACAAGGCAAACTTCACAGGAGTGGTCAACCGATGAATCCAGCAAGATTGACGTTGATATGGTGGTCTCAAAAAATTACATGGAGTCTCGACAAAAATTTGCGGTTTTAAGAGTGCGCCATGATTCGAGTCCTGCGTCTCCCTTCCCAGACAAATCCAAAGCCAAGACATATGAAGGCTACTTCCGGAAGCATTACGGAAAGTCTTTTACAACCATGGAACAGCCTCTCATTGAAGTGAAAGGCATTTCCGGAAGGGTGAATTTCCTGGTGGACAGAAAGGTGGCAGCCAAGAAAAAGCGCGACGTTATTGAACTTTTCCCCGAACTATGCAACGTACTGCCTATTTCTGCTTCCCTTCTCAGTGTGTCTCTGATGCTGCCCTCAATTTTACACCGTGTGAACGCGTTTCTGCTTGTTGATGATGTCAAGGCGATGGTCGCTGGAGCGCGTGACAACACAGATAAATCTAACCTCCCTTCAATTGGTGCTGGTGATGCTAGCGATGAAAAGAGTTTACTCCGTACTAATAAGGACAGCTTCTCATCGAAGATGGACGTGGGTCATGAGGATTATAGCGATGACAGTGATGACGACGTTGATGACTTTCCAGAGCTGTTTTCAGGCTTAAAAAAACTGTTCAGCGGAAAGCGAACAGCTGCTGTTCATCCCGACTCCGCGTTTGTGCTTCAAGCTTTGACCACCACCCACAGTAAAGACGCCTTTAATCTAGAAAGGCTTGAGATGCTCGGAGACACTTTCTTAAAACTGGCGGTTTCACTTCACCTCTATTGCACTTACCGCGAAAAAGATGAAGGGAAACTAACGCAGCGCAAGATAAGACAGATCAGCAATTTGGCGCTGTTTCGTGCAGCTAAAAAGACATCTTTATCAGGGTTCCAACAGAGCACGGAACTTGCACGTGATGTATGGTGTCCCACCGGATGTCAGAAAAGTAGCGCCGAATCAGGTGTTACAGCAATGGAAGTCGATGAGGTGAGGTCCAGTTCAGAACCTCCGGAAAAAGAAGTAGATGATGCCGGCAACGCGGAAGATCAGGGCTTAGGAAGCAGGCGAGACAAGGCTAAGACTCAGGAGATAGCAGACAAGTCTGTTGCTGATAGCATGGAAGCTCTCATTGGAGCGTATTTGATCTGCTGTGGTTACACCGGAGCACTACGCTTTATGAAGTTCCTGGGTCTAAAGGTCCTCCCTGGCGATGATAAAGCGGACATTTGTGAGCTCGCTAAAAATAGAAGAAAAGGGTGTTATGCAGAGTTTTGGCCTCAGAAAGAAAACAACTCAGGAGCTAACCAAAGCTAAGGTATCAGAGATATGCCGTCACGGATGGTCTCTGGCTTGGAGAATTTTGAGAACTCTATTAAGTACAATTTTAATTCCAAATCGTATCTGGTGGAAGCTTTGACACACGCCTCGTATCAGGGAAACCGAATCACGCCCTGTTATCAAAGACTGGAGTTCCTTGGAGACGCCTTGTTGGATTTCCTGGTAACACAACATATATACTTCCGTCAAGAAAACTTGTCTCCTGGTGAGCTGACGGATATTCGCCAGGCTTTGGTGAATAATAACATCTTTGCAGCCATTGCTGTGAAATACGAGTATAACAAGTATTTGAAGCAGATGTCTCCACAATTGTTTAAATCCATCGAAAATTTTATGACTAGACTAAAAAACGAGAAAGAAGAAAATATTAANTATACTTCCGTCAAGAAAACTTGTCTCCTGGTGAGCTGACGGATATTCGCCAGGCTTTGGTGAATAATAACATCTTTGCAGCCATTGCTGTGAAATACGAGTATAACAAGTATTTGAAGCAGATGTCTCCACAATTGTTTAAATCCATCGAAAATTTTATGACTAGACTAAAAAACGAGAAAGAAGAAAATATTAATCTGGTAAGTAGAGCTTATTACGTAATGGTTAATACTCATCTCCATACTCTAAAATAAAGTTGACACATCTTGATTCATACACAAAGTAATCCTCTACAAAGGAAGGAACCGCATTGACTATCAATACTGATTACGGTTAAGCATTGACTCGAAAAACTGTTAGCTTGTATTTCATTCTTCAAATCAAACCAATGGTCGTCAGCAAATCCTCAGTGGGGTAGTGGTGTGGGTGATGAACTGCAGACACTACGCTCCGGGTTTGATTCTTTCTTTCGCTCTTATAAATTTTTTTTATCCTTATAAATTGAAGAGACTTAGACTTTCAGGAACATTTTATCAAGGAGAAATTTCACGAGAAATTTCATGTAGGAAAACGGAAATACGGGTTTGGAGTATGGAGATGAATGCTCACCGCGCGCAACTGACGTAATATTTTCGGCTAAACGAAATCATGTAATTGTCTTAGTGACTTGTGCAAAAACATTTCTTCATTGATAAAATCCCCGCGTTAGCACGGTTGTTTAAAGTAAGGTCTCTTATTTTCCCATTACCGAGCGTTTCTGGGGATGACTATAGAGGCGAGAAGTGATGACGTCACAAAAGCGAAATTTGTGAAATTATGGGAGTGGTTGGCATATCTTGAAAGAAAAAGATAAAAAATGCCAACGTGCTAAAAATGAGTTTGTTGGTGCACATTGGTGGGGAGATGATTTTATAAATCCCTCTAAACTAGGGTTGGATCGTACGCGTTATGATCCAAGCCAATCAGCTTTTTGAAATTCGCTTTTCCAGAAACTTTAAAGAACACTGGTTAACAGCTCGTGGTGCTACGATTTATGTGATCGTTTGGGTAATCAATGTTAACTGTGATAGGTACGATGGTTTCCTTAGGTAACTCTTACCAATCACAGCTTATGTTGGCTGTCCAAATAATGCCATTCATCTTAGCTGGAAAAACAGGTCCCCGGCCCAATTTTTTGGTCGGGGCAGTAATGTTTCTTACAGATACTACTGGCCCTTTTTTATTATTGTGGAGTGTCACTTTAAGTTACGGTAAAACGGGTAACAAAAATCTGCAACTTGTTTTGCAACGTTGCTGCAAAACGCGTCGAAAAGCGATGTTGCGGGTTTTACCACCCACGTTAAAACCTGTCTTGTAACAAATCAGATTCTCAGATTCAGGTTGTTGCAATGTGCGTGAAAACCGACCTCTGACTGGATGAAAGAACGCGGGAGTGACGTCTCTGGTACAAAACAAGCAGTTTCACTACCCCCTCCTTGGCTTGTTTGCGCGCTCGACCAAAACCGCCAAGCTACGCAGGCTAGTTGACACTAGGTATAGAGAAAATGAGCTTGCTAAAGATGACGAACGCTGGTAATAGTTGAACGAGACTGAAATATCTAAATGAAGATATTGCCGACGCAGTTATAATCGCAATTTCAGTTATCGCAAATTAAGCCTGAAAAGAATTCAGGACTTCATTTGGATTCTTATTTAAACATCTTTATCCCGAATTCCTTTGTTTATATTATTGTGGTTCCGGATGAATCTTCAAGGGTTAATTTAGCAAAGGTTACGGGAAAAAGATGGACGAAGCGATCTTTTTTTAACAATTAATAGGGAATTGCAGACCCATTTATCATCGTATCACACGAAGAAGGGATTGAAGCTCCCAAGGTCCTGGGTGATATTTTTGAGTCCGTGGCTGGTGCAGTGTTCTTAGACAGCGGTATGGATTTCACCAAGGTCTGGGAAGTGTACTACTGCATGATGCAACCTTACATAGGTATGACATCATTTTTCAAAGGTAGATAACGTCCCCTGCTGGTGACGGGGCCGCCACTTCTTCGCGCGTGATCACCCGAGCTATAAAAATAGTCCCCTACAAAGCAAAGGCGCTACCTTTTTCATCAGTTTTAAGGCCTTGTAATCGTGTCTGGAATTGAGGATCGAACGCGCAACCTCCCCCGGCAAGTATTTTTCCCAAAAAATTGGGGTGGGGGCGTAAAATTTGTGGATTGGCCCCACTCAGGGTGCTAAACTCTAAAATGACGCGATTAGAATGGATGCAGCACCTAGCCACAACATGAAGGGTACCATTTGTTCGACAAAAGAATAGTCCTTGACGCTACCGAAAACTGATCGTCAATGCGTCCGCGAGTACGTAGAAAATTCAAGGTTCAAACTGCGAATTTAAGTCGCGCCCACAAATTTTCTGAAAAGCGTCTCATTATTTTTATAATGGTATCCCCCTGGAAACGTCCCGCTCTGGAGACGAGTGTTTACAGTCAGCGGTTTGAAAACTCGGTTTTAAAGTTTCCGTCTCGTGAAAAATAAAAAATTGTCACTGTTTACTTGACAATTTTGATGCTTTTGCCTGTTACCATTGTGAAACTCATTCAACAGGTTGCAACATGAACCATTACCATTCGCACTATAGTAAAGAAATACGTGTTTTGTTCTTTGTCAGACCACTACTCTTTAAACATACCGATCAATCCCATCAGGCGTGTGTACGAATTGGACAACGAACGGGAATTTAGGTACGTGAGGTATTGAAAATATTCATATTCTTGTGTAGGACACTCGAGGAAATCATATTTTTCTCTCTATAGGGTTTTACACTTTTTCTCGCTTTTACACGAGTTCTTCAAAAGATAAAAATAAAATCAGGTTCTTAGCTGTACAGGCATTTACTTCCCGAATTATTTAGTTTGAATCCGAAGATGAACTCCTTCAAAATGTAAAAAAATAATCCAAGGTGACGACAACAATCTTGCAAGGACTGTCCTTATCACACGGAAGGTCGCAGAAGACAAACTACAAACTTTGTAGTTTGCCACAAAAACAATCTTTAAAAGGGGTGCTGTTTCCTTAATCATTTCTCAACTGACTTGAGAAAGAAACTTGGAGTATGTAACACTAAAAAAAAAGCGATCGAAAATCACCCATACTAAGCCGACATTTACTCAAGACTACAGGTTTATCACAAACAAACTTTTCAACGACTGTGGTCCCAAGACGATCTAATTTAGAAGATTTCTGTTCATATCTTAAGCAAACCGGAAGTTCTTGCCGATGGAAGGGTCAAGTGTACTTTACAAGTTTTCTGGGGCAAATTCGATGGTTATGGCAAAAATTCCAAAATTGCCAAGGTTACCACTGCAAAGCTGGCAGTGCAGGCGCTGGACAGGAGAGATTCACCAGGAACAAGCCAAGGAAGTGGCTAATCAAGGGAATGGACATCACCATGGTAACGGTGACAGACAGTAACCTTTCAGAGGAAGAATCTAGAGGAATTACGCCTAGGAAGACTTGCTGGCTTTTATTAGCTAAAATAAGATTGTACTTCATTG